TCACTGCCTCCCCCCCCCCCCTCCCCTTGCTGGCCTGGTTGCCGCCAACTGCCCCCTCTGCTGGCCTGGTCACCTCTCACTGCCCCCTCTGCCGGCCTTATTGCCCCACCCAGCCTGCTGTTTGGTTATTACTGTGAGGGTGTCCTGACCAATTTGCATGTTACCCTTTTATTAGTATAAATACTGGTAAAAGCGTGGGCATTGTCCTCAGATGGACCAGTGTTCTTGGATATGTTTCCCAAGAATTTTGGGGCTTTATTTTCTCATCTGTAAAATGGGGATAATCATGGTTCACTGTTAGGCACTAAAAGGTGGGGGTTATGATGAGCTAATCGATGCAGTTTCAGACACACAGTAAATGCTAAGTAAATATTAGCTGTGATCATATTGCAGTCTTACTTTTACTTAAAGCTTCGTTAAGCACCTGTGACTGGAGAATCGTTAGTAATTGAGCGAATGCTTCCCGACACCTCATACCAGCCTGTGTAGGCTGCACAGAGGTAGGCCAGGGGCCGAGATGGGGGAAAGGCTCCTGCAGAGGCCGGAGTTCCGGAATTCTCATCCCAGCTCCCGGCTTCACCAGCCTGGGTGGGTTTGGCCAGCGGATGTAACACCTCTGAGCTTGGGTGTCCGCTCGGTGCCTGCATTCCTGGCAGGTCCTGGGAGGAGCTGGCGCCCTCCTGGGTTGAGAGTGCTTTGGAAGCGCTAACATACTGTGCCTCTTTGAGGATTTGGTTTTGCTCTAGGTCTCATTTTGTTGCAGCCATGACTTAATTCCAGCCATAATTTTGTTGTTTTATTTGTTTGCACCTATTGTATATAATAAAAGGCTAATATGCAAATAGACTCAACAGCAGAACCACTGTTTTTATGATGCACACTGACCACCAGGGGCAGACACTCAATGCAGGAGCCGCCCCCTGGTGGTCAGTGCGCTCCCACAGGGGGAGCACTGCTCAGCGAGAAGCCAGGCTCACAGCCAGCGGGCATAGGGAGGCGGTGGGAGCCTCTCGGCCTCTGAGGCAGTGCTAAGGATGTCTGACTGTCAGGACATCCCCTGAGACTGCTCGAGGGCACAGGCCAGGCTGAGGGTACCCCCCCAACCCTCCTCAGTGCACAAGTTTCATGCACTGAATCTCTAGTATTAATATAATCCACATTTCCCCACAACCAACATGCAATAAATACCCTCATGTTATGTTATCCCCTTGAAGTCTTTTTTTTTAATGAGTGCTATTTACTTATTTATTTTAAAAATATATATTATTGATATTTTACAGAGAGGAAGAGAGAGGGATAGAGAGTTAGAAACATCGATGAGAGAGAATCATCGATTAACTGCCTCTTGCACACCCCCTACCAGGGATGTGCCCGTAACCAAGGTACATGCCCTTGACCGGAATCGAACCCAGGACCTTTCAGTCCTCAGGCTGACGCTCTATCCACTGAGCCAAACCGGTCTCAGCTCCCCTTGAAGTCTTAAGCCTGTTCTTTAAATCCTGTTGTAGCTCAGACCTTCTACTAAGGGAAAGGTGTCATAAGGTGGCGCCTGGAAGCTGATGGCCATGAAGTTATACCTCATGAAGTCATAATAAGATTGAGTCCTGATCAAAATGTAGGCGTTTTAAGTGCTACTAAGTAAATGTCCAAGCCCCTTTCCCTGCTGATCTCTGGTCCCTAAATCACACTGTGAGCATTTGGAATGGGGGCTCTCTCTCCAGGGTTGCTATGGTTTTCCTTATAACAAGTCACATGGGAAAAACAGAAAGGAAGAGAATGTGGGGATCTAGCATCCATGGACCAGCAAGAGCCCTGCGGGGTCTGCTTCCTCCACCTGGCTGTACAAGGTGGCAGGGGGGAGGGGGAGAGTGGGAGGAGGTGAAGTAGGGGGGGAGGGCTGCCCTGTGGGTAGGCTCCTCCTCCTCGGTTCTAAGCCTATCTCCCATCCCTCTTCGCTGGTAGGTGTTTTGTGCAGGAAGCTGACCGGCTGCCCCGCAGCCTCACTAATCTTGTCTTGGACACCTCTTACTGTCGTCTCCTCCACGGAGGGAATAAAGGCTTTATAGAGAGGTTTCTGGTCTCAGCAGCAGGTCTGATATCTGAGCAGACGTGTACACGCCTGGAAATAGAGATAAGCAGCTGCAGACAGGGGATTATGAAAGTGCCAGTTAAGAGAAAAAATGCGCTTTTGTCATCGAGGACACAGGAGTGGGTCTGAGGCAGAAATATTTTGTAAAATAAGAATGGCTCACTTCCAACCCATGTCCCTCATAATTATTTTAATGTTGAAAGGCATAGTGACTGCATTATAAAAGGTTCGAATCCGGAATAAAAAAGATGTAGCGGTTGGCTTGCTCTTTTATGCATTTCATCAGAACCGTATATTAGCCTTTTTTAGCTTCTTGAGGCCTTAACCAATTTCCGGTTCACCTCTTCTCTCTGATCTTTTGAGCAGTTTAGGATAAAAAAAAAAAAGATTTAGATCTGAAAATGAGAATACATGCATTTCCTAAGACCATGGGACTTGGGAAACACTGCGTGTATACCAGGAAAGCTTACCAGTGTAAAATCTTGAGTCAAGGAGGCTTTCAGAAATCTGAGGGTTCCCACTGGCTTGGGCAGAGAAGGGAAAGAGTGAACATCTGATCTGCACCTTTTTGTTTCTCCCTCAGTTTACTTTTACTGTGGCAGCCGTTGGGATTTTGAGGTGAAGCGGTGGGGAGTGCTGGAAGACATGGTACCTGGCAAGTACATGGTCTTGGAAGTCATAATGGCCTAGGGTCAAGGGCATCCTTTTCTGATTTATTAGCTGTGTGACCGTGAGGCACTTAATTAACCTCTCTGGGCTTTATGTCTGTATTTGTCATATAGCTTTCATAGGATTTTTGGGTTGATTAAATGAGAAAATATTTTCAACACTCGTAAGTGCACCATTATTGTTTTCATCCTGCCTTTTCACTTATTCATCAAAGATTCCGACTCAGTGGATGAGAAAAACTATTTTTAGTGGGCATCGGACAGGGTGCTGAGGGTTCTCAGACCACACCTGGAGAAGTGCTGTTCTTTTTTAAAAAAATATATATTTTATTGATTTTTTTTACAGAGAGGAAGGGAGAGGGATAGAGAGTTAGAAACATCGATGAGAGAGAAACATCGACCAGCTGCCTCCTGCATACCCCCTACTGGGAATGTGCCTGCAACCAATGTACATGCTCTTGACTGGAATCGAACCCTGGACCTTTCAGTCTGCAGACTGACGCTCTATCCACTGAGCCAAACCGGTTTCGGCAGAAGTGCTGTTCTGAAAGCACAAGTAGGGCTTTGGGCATCATGGCGGAGGCAGGGCTGTCACTTGCATGCACACATAACTCCAGGGGGTACCCCAACCTCATAGTACATGTCCGTGGAGCACCCAGAGTTGGCGTGCATGACCTGCAAGGCCACAGGCAGAGGCCCAGAGAATGGGGTTTTGTGTGAGGGTGTGGGCTATGCGGGGTGTTGCTGGGACTGAAGATCTTTCCCTCTGAGGGAGCAGGCAGGTGGAGACAAGGGGGCCTGTGGAGATCTTCGTGCCATGCCAATGAACTCAAGAAGCGGCGAGGAGCCACAGACGTTCTAAGCAAAGCCAGGATTTTAACATGCTAAGGGTCACGTGAGGGATGAGCCAAGGGAGAGACTGCAGGCAGACATGGTAATCAGGAGGAATTTATAATCGACCAACCAGGTGGGAGCCAATGAGAGAGGGAGGGAGAAAGAGTATATGCAGGAGTGGGGGCAGGTAGGAGGAGGCTCAGTGACCCCAGGTCCCCGCACAGAGAAAGGCCGGAGAAGGAGTAAAGATTTGGGATCTGAAGCCTTGGCTCACGCGAAGGTGAGCTCTGAGGCACTGAGGAGCGGTAAGAGGAGGGTGCACAATGAGATTGTGGGTCACATCAGTCCCCAGGAGGCTGGAGCCCATGGAGCCAGGTGATGGGAGAGGAGAGGCCCCTGACACAGGGGAGTGGGAGCAGACCAGGTGAGGGTCTGGAAGTCATGGGCGGAGCCTGCTACCTGCTTCCTCTAAAGAGAACGAGGTCACCAAGCCACCGGGTCTGCCGGGCCGGAGTCACTGGTGGGAGAGAGTGGAGAGTGGGAAGGTGGAAACCCAGTTCTTTGGTGAAGTGGCCGGAGAAGGGCAGAGAGGGTCAGGCCGTGGTGAGGATGGCACCCAGGTCCGGGCAGGGACTTGTTAAAGGGGAGCTCTCTGAGCCTTCATTTTTCTCAGGCACACTGAGTCTGAGGGGAGAGGCAGAGACATAGTGAGTAGACCTGGGAGAACAGGGGGACCCAGGAGAGAGGTGCCTAGGAGAGCAGGGGGGATCCAGAAGTGCAGGAGGACAGGAAGAGGAGAGGGAACCTGGAGAGCAGGGGGATCCAGGAGAGGAGGAGACCCGGGAGAGCAGGGGGACAGGAAGAGGAGGGGGAACCTGGAGAGAAGGGGGGATCCAGGAGAGGAGGGGACCCGGGAGAGCAGGGGGACAGGAAGAGGAGGGGGAACCTGGAGAGCAGGGGGACAGGAAGAGGAGGGGGACCCTGGAGAGAAGGGGGATCCAGGAGAGGAGGGGACCCGAGAGAGCAGGGGTACCCGGGAGAGGCTCTCCGAGGAACCAGGTGAGGGCTGGAGGCCAGTGCAGGATGGGCACATAGGATTGGGTTACGGGAGACATGACAGGGGCGGCCGATGGCTGGGCATGTTCATGGCAGTGCCGTGGACCCGGGAAGGAGTGCTGGCTCTGGGGGTGCCCCAGGACAGGGAGTTCACGGGCGCACTGGGTAAGCCGCCTGTGTGGGTGCGGTGTGGAGTCAGGCCATGGAAGCTGAGGGGCAGGGAGAGGGCTGAGCAGAGAACGTTCTTTCCCTGTAGCATTCCTGGAGAAACATAATACAGTGGTCATTTTCATAATTATTGTGTATAAAATTAGTATCAGTTTATAAAACTAATTTTTCTTTTCTTGTTTTAGTGATGATCACAATGTCTCTTCAGAAGAAAAAGGTATGGTACCTCTAAGCCAGTTTTATTGAAAAACTGGAACATTTGCAGTTCTAGAAAATGATTTCTTTGTTAATTTTACTTACTGGCTGCAGTTGCTTTGTTGCGTTCATGCATTCACTGACTTATGGAAATGTATTAAGATAATCATTGGGTTAGGATGAAAGGATAGGACTTTTCTTTAAAATTTTATTATTTTTCAACAGATACTTAAAAGGGTGAAATGTAAAGAGCTTGGGCCTTTGTAGCCTTTCACAAGTTGATGATAGGACGTACATGCTCTTATACTCCACTCCTTTTCAACTCTGAGTCTCATGTTCTTTCTAACCTACGTTTAAATTCTATAACGTACATAGTGGATGCAACTGGGACGAATTGGCATTCAAGTTTAAATTCAATAACGAAGTATCAGCAACTGAATTCTATAAATTTTCCGTACATAAAAAAGAGGTGTTATCTTTAATACTTGAGTGTGACCATCAGTTTTATACACTTAATGAAGCAGCAACACAGTTATCTCCCGGATTCTGGGTCAAACCAGAACCCTCGAATTAAAGGAATAAAGTAGGTCTGCTCCTGGGTTTGGTGGGGCTGCTGAGGATCGAGTCCTCTCTTGGCTGGTGCTGCTTGTTTTGAGTCTATAAAGCGTGTTGTAGTTCTCGCCTTGGCCTCTGGCCTGCGCTGCGTGGCTGAGAGCCATCCTGGAGGAGGGTCCCGAGGCCACTTGAGGTGTTAGTGTGTCACTCAAACTCCCTAGTCCATCCTGGGACCACTGTCTTACTTTGCAAGTTCTGTTTCCATCTTGTGGCTCATTTTTTCTTTTCTTCTCAGTGCAGAGCAATAACCTGCCTAATAAAAGCGTCATGATATAATCTAACAAAGGTTTGGGTAGCGTTTGGCTGGCGTGGGCAATGTCCGGGGATGCCTGTAGTCAGACCTGGGGGCTCTCCTTCCCAGTGTTGACATGAACCTCCCGCCCGCATACACGCCACCCCTACCCCTCACCCCACCCCAGCTTCGCTTTTGCCCGTTTCTGTCTGCCTGAGATGCCTCTCCCTCCCCTCTCATTTCGCCTCCAAGACTTGTGTCAGCTCACCCAGATTCATGAACTCGTGCTGAACCCCTCATCTTCAATGATTGGTCTGTTTCTCTCCTGGACCCACACACCCCTGGCCTAGCTTCTGTAGTATTGTTGTGATTTCCTGCAGTGATTTGTCTAACGCACAGCTGCTCCCGCCCTCATTGCGGCATTAACCCGTAAGCTGTTTTCTGGTGCTGGATTTTCTTCTCATTTCTGCCCAGTGCTTGCTTACCCACAGTTAGGCACTGAGTCTGTTTATACAATTGAGGGGGTCAGTAGTCTCCGCCCAAGCCTGAGGGCGTCAGTTAATCCGTAGTTAAGCCGCTGTGGTTCACCAGCCCGGTGTGGATGCCTGTTCCGGGTGCAGGGGGCATGAGAGGTCGTTGAGCGCGGCATAAACACAGACGCGGGCATGAGAACTGAGGAGCAGTCCTTCCCTACACAGACATGTTCTGGCTTTATTTGACATCGGAGGTAACTTCTGCCACTCCCTTCTCCTCCATCATCTGCCATTTCTCCTTGCCCGGGGCACTCCCCCTGGCTTCGGCTCTTGTCCCTTCATCTCCGGATCTCCGCCGTGGCCTCCTGGTGTGAGGCTCGGGTCCATCCTGAACATCAGTGCCCCCCAGTAGCCGCCATCTCGGGGACCGCCAGGGCCAGTCTGAAGCTCTTACCAGTATGCCGTCTGTGCCTCCGTGGTATTCCCTGTGGAACGTCAGGGATGCTCGTTCTTCCCAGTGGCATTCCAGGCCTCCCTGGTCTGGTCTCGGCATACCCTGCCAGCTCCTCCTGTTGACAGTCCTTCGCCTGGGAAAGAACATCACTTCTGTTTCTTTCTTTCTGGTGTCAAGTTACTCCATGGCCAGGGGTGTTTTTAGGGGGCTGCTGAGCTGATCAGAGGAACAAAGGCAGTTTGTTTTGGCACAAAACTCAGAACCAGCCCAGTGGAAATCTCCAGTTTGTTGGCTTCCTGTTCTCTCTTTCCTGGAAAAGGCTTAAGGTTTCTTGGTCTATCTCTTTTTTTTCTCCTGAGACTGTGACATCATTTGCATTAGTTTGACATGCAAGGTTGCTGTGGGTCTAAAGAGGGAATGCAGTTTGTAGTAGAGGGAGCTTCTACGTTTATTGGCTAAGTGCCTTTTACAAAAAAAAGAACATAATGGTTTACTTTATGGTCGTATTTACACATTTCTTTCTTTCTCAAAATTTAGGTTGCCCTAGCCCCAACCTAGACACTTCAAAGGACTCTAAATCAGGTAAAGATTCTGATTAATATTGGTAAATGTCCCAAGTGAAATTTTTATACAATCACGAATTCATAGCAAATTACAGTTTTATTTTTCTGATTCACTTCAAACAATCCGAATGAAAGGTAGGGACTTCCATCTTTCAGCTTGAAAGAGTTGAATATATTTTAAAGTTTCATGATTACCTGTTCTCGGGAAGTCAGTTACTTTAAATATATTTTTTTTATTGATTTTTTTACAGAGAGGAAGAGAGAGGGCTAGAGAGTTAGAAATATCGAAGAGAGAGAATCATCGATCAGCTGCCTCTTGCACACACCCTTACTGGGGATGTGCCTGCAACCAGGGTACATGCCCTTGACCAGAATCGAACCCGGGACCCTTCAATCCGCAGGCCGACGCTCTATCCACTGAGCCAAACCGGTCTCGGCCGGGAAGTCAGTTACTTTAAAGTTTGGTGATAAAGCTGTACGTAGTGGGACTGGAATTTATCTGATGAGGCAGTTAGGTCATTTTCAGACTGGCCACTTTAACTTAATACAGCATCCCAAGTGAGTCCAGCCAGGTGGTTGGACACTTGGCTGGGGTGGCCCTGGGGGGCTTCCCAGAGGAGGTGATAAATTGGGGTGACAGGGCAAATGTGGGGAAGAGTTGTTCTGGTTCCAGAGACAGCGCTGCTTTCAGAGACTGAAGGTCAGATGGCCGGAAAGGAGGCTGGGAGTGGGGAATTGGGAGTGAGGCCTGGGGCTTTTGTTGGGGGTGGGAGGTGGAGAGGAAGATGGGGGTGAACAGTGGAGAGAAGCCACAGAGGCAAGTGGAGGGCTCTCAGAGAGGCTGGAGGGGAGCCAGGACCGGCTCCACCGGGGAGGTCATGTGGGCAAGAGGAAGTGGTTGGTGTCCTTCGCTGCGGGTGCCATGGGCCTGGGGGTGAGCAGGCCTGTGGGTCACAGGGAAAAGGATCCCACACTAGTTGTGGGAACAGTAGCCTGATTGCCGTGGGTGGAGCTGCTGCGCTGGGGGGTGAGGAAGTGACGGGAGCATTCTCGGGGCCCACTCCAGTAGTCGTTAGCAACGTGGACTGAATGTGTCCTGTGCTCCCGTGAAGTGGCTTCTGCACTCCAGAATTCTGCCCCGTCCGCATGGAGCGTGTGCCTGGGAACCTCCTAGGTTAAGGTGACCAGACGTCCTGATTTTTAACAATGTGTCCCGCATCTCTCGGCGTTTTAAAAAAGTCTCGATTTTTGGAAAAAAAATTGGGACTTTTTTTTTTTTTTTAAAACGCCGAGGGACACATTGTTAAAAATCGGGACTGTCTCACCAAAAGTGGGACGTCTGGTCACCTTATTCTAGATGTGCAAGTGTAAAGGTGAGATGGACGCAGTGAGCAGGTCAAGGTCGGCTAGGACTCGTGTGACACCCATGGATGATGACCGCAGCCAGCATGTGAGCTGAGCTCATCCTTAAAGGGGTTCAAGTTGTATCCGTTTCCAAGGAAGTGTAAGCCTCCTTCGTGGTGGACTAGAGCAGTGACTAAAAGGAGAGATCAGTGGAGATGGGACCTGTTTTTCAACAGCGTAAGTTACAGTGGTTTCTGCTGCTTATTTGTTGTGTGCTTCTGGCGTGTGTTTTTATTTAGGAGAGGACAGCAGTTCCGAGAGCAGTTCTGACAGTAGTGACTCTGGTAAGTAGTATATGTGCCTCTGTTTCTTTAATCCAGGCGAAGCACACAACCCTTTATTTAAAAAAAAAATAAATAAAAAAAAAAAAATATATATATATTTTATTGATTTTTTACAGAGAGGAAGGGAGAGAGATAGAGAGCTAGAAACGTCGATGAGAGAGAAACATCAACCAGCTGCCTCTTGCACATCCCCTACTGGGGATGTGCCCGCAGCCAACGTACATGCCCCTGACCGGAATCGAACCTGGGACCTTTCAGTCCGCAGACCGACACTCTACCACTGAGCCAAACCGGTTTCGGCCACAACCCTTTATTTTAAAGTTGTACACACACACCTCATTGCTTCAGGACATATTAATTTCTAGCATGATCTTGTCTAATACCAAAAAAGTACTTACATGGGGAATCATTCTAGTTGGCAAGCGAAGTAGCAAAACAGGATGAGCTGAAGAAGAAAGGCAGGAAATGGTTGCTATTGGTGATGGGCACACATTTTACCTATTCTCCCATTTAGCCTGGGTTTTCTCAAGCTGGCATCTGAATCTGACTTAGCCTTTTTTTTTTTTTTGTAGATAACGAGGAGCCCAAAACAGAAGAGACAAGTAAGTACATCCTTCCTCTGAAGTTTTACTTTTGTTGTTGAAAGGAAGAAAGAGAAAGTTAGCCCTCGGGGGTTTCTAAGTTTGTTCAAGATCTATTTCTGAGCAAAACATGAGTTAGACACTAAGCACCTTTTTAAAAAAATATATATTTTATTGAGTTTTTACAGAGGGGAAGAGAGAGGGATAGAGAGCTAGAAACACTGATCAGCTGCCTCTTGCACACCCCCCACTGGGGATGTGCCTGCAACCAAGGCACACGCCCTTGACCGGAAACGAACCTGGGACCTTTAGGTCCACAGGCTGACACTCTATCCACTGAGCCAAACCGGTTTCGGTGACACTAAGCACCTCGTAAGCATTTTGAACATGGGAGCTCGTGTTCGTTCTCTGCCCCGGGGGTGCAGAGATTGGGGTTCTGCTCTCACGGCTTCCCCGGGGAGAGCAGATTGAGGCCGCAGTGGTGCTGGCTTCCTTCCTGGCGGTCACTGCCCGGGCTGATCGTAGGGTAAACACTGCCGCTGCCGAAGACGCGGCACCACTTGTGGTCGGCAGTTCCTGGCTTGCTCCTTCTGGCTCTGTGTGAGCAACTTGAGTCTGAAACCACTTTTAAGGACACAGATTCTAAATATAAAGTTTGGTTTGTTTGCATTTAAAGTTTGGTGAGTGACTAAGCTGATATTTTCACCGATTTTACTACACGAAAGGATTTTGTCCCCGGCCTGAGAATCTGATCTCAGCCCGTGAACACAAACACTGTATGAGGCAGTCGGAGGGCTTCTTAGCAGCACTTAACATAAGTGAAGCCTCTTCCCTCAGAAGTCCTTCTGCACTTAATCTGATTCCCTCTGCAGCTTTCCGACGGGAATCTCCGAAGGCAGTTGTAAGCGCTTTGCAGTCGTGTTGTGTGTTGATACAAACCTTAATTATCTCCCTGTTACGCCTGGGGAGTAGATGTCCATTCTGATATGCAAAAGGGAAAATGTGCCCTCCACCTCCCGGTCTTCTTTACACGTTAATAGATTGTTTCATCCTCAGTCCAGCCTCCGCCGACTGGCTTCGGGCAGGAACCAAAGCAGAAAGCTGCACGTAGGGATCACACCTCTGTGGTCTCTGCCTGCTAACGGGGTCAGTGGCCACGGGGACCCAGGAACCAGGGGCAGGACCCGTACGGTCCAGAAGCGAGGTCGAGGTCTGGGCCACCGGGCCCGCAACCCTCGGGGGAGGCATTTGGAGTCAGCGGAGCTCACGACAGGCTGGGGTCAGTGCGGTCAGGCAAGGCCTCTGCAGTCAGGCAGGGCCTGTGCGGGCAGGAGCGGCTGGCCCTGGCCCTGCTGGGTTAGACACCTAAGTCTTTGGCAGTGAGAGTGCTCCGATGTCTTCTGTCGGCAGAGGATGCTTGACCTTAGAGCCCCGGGTTCATCTAAAGGGCCCTCCCTGCCTTCCCCAGGGTCACTCTTTTTGTGAGAAGGCCGCTTATTCTCCACACTGGGGGAGAGAGGGCGCAGGCACCCTCCCACTCACCTCCATTCTCAAGTAGGAGGAGGTGGGCCACCCCCCGGGATGCTTGCTCCTGCGTGCGCTGGCTGGCACTGTGGCCCATCCATCTTCCTTGGGATCGGATGTATCCCTACGCACAGGCCTGAGCTCTGCCATCAGCGGTTCTCAACCTGCGGGTGGCGACCCCTTTGCGGGGGTCGAGCGACCCTTTCACAGGGGTTGCCTAAGACCATCAGAAAACGCAGATACTTACATTACGATTCATACCAGCAGCAAAATTACAGCTATGAAGCAGCAGCGAAAATAATTTAAGGTTGGGGGTCACCACAACACGAGGAACGGTATTAAAGGGTCGCTGCATTAGGAAGGTTGAGGACCACTGTAGGTCGCAGGGAAACCGTGGCTCATGGGCTGGGGGGGAGTCGCACCGGTTCCTCCGCTTTGGCTGGGAAGACCTAGTTACAGACGGGGTTTGCCCGCTGGTTAGGATTCTCTAAGCTCTTTTCCTCTTTCTACTCCCAAGGCAGACGGCAAGACAGAAAAAACATGGATTGTGGATGACATACAGTGTGACGTATGCCATTATTATAATTTAGAATTTAATGATTCTTTAAGGGGCAGTGACTGAGGGAATCTGATCGGCAGGTTGTGTGGTACAGGACTGGGGTTAGTATTTCAGAGCCTTTTTCATCTACCCCGTTTCCCCGATTAATAAGACAGTGTCTTATGTTAATTTTTTCTCCCAAAGTTGCACTAGGTCTTATTTTCAGGGGATATCTTATCTTTCCATGTGCTACGTCTTATTTTTGGAGGATGTCTTATTTTCGGGGAAACATGGTATCGCATTCCGAGTCCAGGATTTGAATACTCTCAGTCTCCCTTTGCCATTCGTTTTAGCGCTGTGTTTGGCAGTTGGCTCTCTCTTGCAGTCCTGGTGCCTGGACACGGACTGCTCTGAAAGTCCCAGAGACGAGGCAGCCTGTGTAGCTCCCGATGGATCTCTGTCCTGCAGGAAGGTCGCACCTGTGGGCACTGGTGATGGCACAGGGCCTTACACCATGTTGAGGAGTGCTATGCCACCCCAGGGTGACCCTCCCAAAGGCCGTTCAGACATTTCAAATACAAATCCAGGCATCCGACCCCAAGTGAGAGATTGTTGTCTTTGGAATTATTTTTTTTAAAGTTATTATTATTTTTTTTTAAGAATCTCTCTGGGTTTTTAAAAAATAAATTTTATTGATTTTTTACAGAGAGGAAGAGAGAGGGATAGTTAGAAACATCGATGAGAGAGAATCATCGATCAGCTGCCCCTTGCACACCCCGTACTGGTGATGTGCCCATAACCAAGGAACATGCCCTTGAGTGGAATCGAACCCAGGACCTTTCAGTCCATAAGCCGACGCTCTATCCACTGAGCAAACCAGTTTCGGCTAAAAAAAAAGTTTTTATTGATTTAAAGAGGAAGGGAGAGGGTTAGAGAGATAGGAACACCGATGAGAGGAAAACATTGATTGGCTGCCTCTTGTATGCACCCACTGGGAATTGAGTTGCCCAGGTTCATGGGTTGATGCTCAACCATTGAGCCACACTGGCCAGGCTACTTTAGAACTCTTGAATTTTTTAATAAATCCTACCCATCACCATAGCAATATAATAGTTGACCGGTAACACGCATTGAAGAATTGCTGAGTGCGAGGCACAGCACCTAACTATAATTAATTTTCCTAACTTTGTGGGGTGCTATTATTTTAATCCCTATTTAACAGATGAGGAAAGTGAGGCACCAAAGATTTAGTAACATAACTATAGACAGCCCAAGCTCATGTAACCAGTGGCCAGTGTAGATAATAGGAAATCCAGTGCTGTTCTCTTTCATGGTACACTAGAGGCCCAGTGCACGAAATTTGTGCACTGCGGGGGGGGGGGGAGGGCTCCCTCAACCCAGATTGCGAGAGGGCACAGGCCAGGCTGAGGGACCCCACGGATGCACGATTGGGGTCAGGGAGGGACACAGGAGGTTGGCCAGCCAGGGAGAGACCATGGGAGGGGTCCAGGGCATGTTTGGCCCATCTCACTCAGTCCCGATTGGCTGGACCCCAGCAGCAAGCTAACTTACCAGTTGGAGCGTCTGCCCCCTGGCAGTTAGAGCACATCATAGTGAGCGGTTGAGCGGCCTTAGCATATCATCAGCATATTATACTTTGATTGGTTGAATGGACGACTGGACACTTAGCATATTAGGATTTCTGGTATTACAGAATTCTGGTCACTCAGGAAATAGGCATTGAACACTTACCAGGCCCTAGTGATAAAGGTTCTGAAGCTGACATTCTAGTGGGGAGAGAGCCGGGAAGCAGACACACTGAACTGCAGGTGCCAGGTCAGCGGGAGGGAGATGCTGAAGGGAAATGAAGGGGGAAGAGTGAGTGTGTCGAGCAGACCCTGTTTCAGGGGGGCCAATAGGACAGTGCTCAGGTAAAGTGACCCTGAGCACACACCTCAAGGGTGTGAGAGAGTGAGCAACGAGAATATCTGTGGGAGGAGATAGGGCGTGCAAAGGTCCTGAGTCAGGAGTGTGCTGTGGGGTGGACAAATGGTGGGGGTGTGGTGGTGGTGGTGGTAATTGGAGGGCAGTCAGGGCCCAGAGGTGGGCACCTGGGTCTTGTTGAGTCTGGAACCACGTAGGAGTCTGCGTGCAAAGGCGGAGAGTCTTATAAACCGCCTCAACTCAGGTCCCGCTTTATGCCTGAAATCAGATCCCTTCCAAGCACATCCCTCCCTAACTCTGACAGCCTGGAGGGCTGGTGCCAGCCACGCCATGTCTGGGGAACAAGGACTCCTGCTTAGTGCCTGACTCCGGTCAGCCTTCAGGAGGGGCCGCAGTGCTCTGGCTGAGAAGCTGGCCGGGGTGAAGGGGGCGGTGGGGGGAGGAGGAGATGGTCCGAGAGCACCTGTGCCCTAAGCCCTTCTTGTCTCCACAGATGAGGAACTGGGAGAGGCTTCCGCCGAGGGCGCTTCCGCTCAGGGTAAGAGCGAGGCAGCGTGCTGCCCTCCCATTCTGTCTGATTCCCCCTGCCATCTCCATGCAGAACTGTCAGGAGGATGCGAGGAGAGGGTTGAGGGATGCTGAAAGCAGTGGCTGCTGTATAGAAACGTCAGATAAAGAATTATGTGCCCAGATGGGGTGTGTTGAACCTTGTCACATTGAAACTTATTTTCATGCATTACCAGGGTCAGGGGACGTCCAGCCCGAGGGCCATGTAAGGCCCACAAAATCATTTGGTCTGGCCCTGCCAGGGCATTAGGGATAAGTTAATCAAATGCTTGACCAAATATAGCAGTCCTATTTCTAAGTTGATAATCTTGTACGACCCACGAATGATGTTATAACTATCCAAAGTGCCTTTGGCAGAAAAAAAAGGTTCCCCACCCCTGCCTTAGACCTGCAGTGGGATTCTCAAATATGATGACATTTCATGTGTCATTGAATCAACACACAGAGACAGTTAAAATGTGCTTAAAGTTCCTATTGGCTGTGAAGCTGAAGGGGTGTGTTTAGTAGGAGATTTACCCCGTGATTGACTTGTGCCAATAGATGTGTGACACCATCTTTTACAGCTGAAGAATGGGGAGACAAAGAAACACACACAGAGCATTTTAATTCAGGTATGAACTTAAGTTTTCCAAAGCATTATTTTAAATATCATTGCTGAGGGGCATATATACCTTTGAATTTTATAATTGAGCATGTTACACATATGTATTTAAAAATTATTATTTGAAAATGCCGATCACATTCATCTAAGAAAAACTTTGTCTCTGTTATTTAGAATGTATTAAAATTGAACCTCACTGTCAACACTGTAATGCTGAAAATGTAAGTATCTTTTAATTGTAAAATATGACTCTCTAATTTGTTTTATTTAAGAAAACACTTCATTATATGTTATTCATTTGTTACATGTGTTTTTCTCCAGAAACACAACGAACAAGTGACCCCTAGACGCCTTTCCGGGGGACAGTTTTTGTAAGTAATTGTGAATACAGGAGACTTAGTACCCCGTTTCCCCGAAAATAAGACAGTGTCTTATATTAATTTTTGCTCCCAAAGATGCACTAGGTCTTATTTTCAGGGGATGTCTTATTTTTCCATGAAGAAGAATACGGTACACATTTATTGTTAAGTGAAAATAAAGGAAATTTATTACCTGCATACGGTACAGTAGTACGGTAGTTGTCAACACGAACCAGACAAACTGTGAATCCTACAGTATCAAGAATTTACTCATTTATTCAATGACAATCATGTCATCATCTTCTGGAACATCATCATAACAAATCCAATTCCTGAATTTCCTGGTGAATTTCTTGCGACTCCATTTCTTTCAGAATCAGTGGACCAAATCTCTCATGTTTAGCAATAGCATTCTGAGACAGAGCCTAGGGGTGGGGGTGGGGGGGCTTATTTTGGGGGGATGCCTTATATTTCACTCAAAAGAAAATCTGTAAGTAGGTCTTATTTTCGGGGAAACACGACAGTATGAGTACTTTAATTTTCTGCATAAATGTAACACCAATTAGGGGAGACATAAAATAGCATGACTAATGTCATACATTCTACATAATTACCTGGATTGCTTTCTTTGATAATGATGCTTCTTAAAATACAGTTTCTTAATGCTTTTGAGTGAAATTAAAAACATAAATAATTGTAAGAAGTCTCCTCCTAACCAGACAGTAAGACTCAGCAGGTGTTCTTGTCTGTCCAACGCAGGCTGAAGGTGGACACGGAGGGAGTGTACGAGTGCACGGAAACGGGTCTGATCTTTGAGGTTAACAGGAAAGTTGACATCAAGTATTGCATCTTGTCCTGGAGCAAATACGCAGACCTGGTTGTCAAGCCCTGGGCTGTTGGGGGACCCATGTTTGATGTCAAGTGTGACCCAGCCTGTCTTACCTCCATTCAGTTTCCACATTCCCTCTGCCTGGGCCGTAAGTACTTGTTTGCTAAAACGATAAGGATGGTGTGTATGTGTGCAACCCCCGTAACCCCTGGACCACCCATGTACCTTCATGTTTTTGCAGGCCAAGATGCCAACATGACATTCCGAGTCTTACACGTTAAAAATTCCGAGGCCTCATTAGAATGCCCTGTGGACCATTCTTCGACCCATGTGAAATGGCACGTGAGCTCTCTTTCTCCTGTGGGACCTGTGATTCAAAGCGAAGAAACGTTGTACCACCACGGGGCTGTGATTCTGTACAAAGTCATCGACCAGAATCCATCCTTATCTTTCCGGGTGTACATAGCAACCAACAACGAGTCCTTCATCAAGGTAAAGCCAGTAAACATGAATAATGAATGTTTGGTTCTCTGTGTTCAAACATTACCCCTGTGAAGTGTCCCCCTTTGGGTCTAATTTGGCAGCTACCTACAGCGGCTATGATGTCAGTGCCTGGGTGTGCCCCTAGTCCTCAGATCCGCGGAGTATGGTTGTTTATACACGTAATGGGCGTCACGAAGACAGCAGATGGGGCAGAGCTCTTCAGGGGCAGGTTGGCCCAGGCAGGCAGGCTGGCCTTTGAGGGTGGCCTGATGGACAGCCGGTCTCTGCAGCAGTGCTTCTCAGAACATCATCTGGGAACCAGGGGACCAGAACCCTCGGCATCAGCTGGGAGCATGTTGAAATTTTGGCGCACGCTCTGCCCTCCCCCAGACCCACCGAAGCAGAGCCTGTACTCGGCAGGATTCCCAGGGGACTCGGGCGTGGTTAGAGTGTGAGAAGCACTTGTTCCAGAAAACACTAAGGAGTCCTAACTGGTTTGGCTCAGTGGATGGGGCACCGGCCTGCAGACTGAAGGGTCCCGGGTTCAATTCCGGTCGGGGGCGTGTACCTTGGTTGCGGGCACATCCCCAATAGGGGGTGTGCAAGAGGCAGCTGATCGGTGTTTCTCTCTCATTGATGTTTCTGACTCTCTATCCCTCTCCCTTCCTCCCTGTAAAAAAAATCAATAAAATATATTTTTTTAAAAAAGAAAAAAACACTGGGGAGACATCTGGGGTTTTGGGGTCCAGAATAGGGCGACTTGAGATTTCTCATTGGCCTAATGCTCCTCAGTTACGATGGGCCTCCCAGGTTAACTCATTAAGCTCAGAGCAATGTTTCGGATAATCTGAATGTCTTATGGTTCATGGCCTCAATATTCTGTGTTTTATGGCAGCAAATATTCATGAATCCCCTGTTATGGTGAGGGAAGAGGAGGGAGTTTGGATATATTCATCGTGGTTCAGTTTTCCAGGATGTAGAATAAGGCTGTGATACTGAGCCCATTTTCTGAACTAAATAGATTAGAATAGTGGTAGTTGAATGTCCTTTCATACTTTCGCTATTCTCAGTGCACTTGTAATGGCTTAGAGGTAAGTGGAGAACAAATAAATGAAGTAGACAGATAAAAGAGTGGCTTAAAATAATACTTTCAGATTTTAGATCAGGGTTTGACATAAGTAATGTAAGCATTAAAAAACAAAACAATTGGAATGCAGAGATGAGAACAAATATGTGGTACCTTAATAAAGAAATTAAAAAACAAAACAAAAAATTAGGCATTAGGTCTGAAGTGTACTATACTAACTGAGGAGTTCTAGTTTGAATTACAGAATTTATATCAAACTATCTACTGGTGGTTTAGGTTGTAGTATTTCTTTGACTTTAAAGTTAATCATAATGATTATAATTAGCAATATGTATGAAAGTTTAAACACTTTATAGTAAGTAATATAGGCTTTTAGTTTCTTCCTAAGAAGGTAAACCTGCTTTTTGTAATCTCATTAATGATAACAGGTTCAATTGGGAAGCTAGTTTTCAAAATGGTATAAAAACAATACCATCTAAAGTATAATTAGCATAGCTTTGGAATATTATTTAATGAGCTTTGTATTTTTAAAAAAAATTTTTTTTTTGTTCAAAATAATAAAGGTTTAGTTTTTACAGCAAACCTAAGGTGCGTTGGTTGATTTTTGGGCAGCTTTTTAAATTTTTTTTATTGATTTTAGAGAGGAAGAGAGAGGAAGAGAGAGAGAAAAACATCAGTGATGAGAGAATCATTGATGATCGAGCCTACTACCTGGCCATATGCCTTGACTGGGAACCAAACCTGTGATCTCTTGGTTCCTGGGTCAACGCTCAACTGCTGAGCCACACCCAGCTTGGCTGGGCAGCTTTTAAAGGAAATAAGTTTATTGGGGTGACATTGGTTAATAGGATCATGCTGGTTTCAAGTGTACTTTTCTATGATACGAGATCTGTTTACTGCAGTGTGCCCACCACCCACAGTCAGGAACTTTGTATTTTTAAAAGTAAATTCAGTTCAGTTTCCGTGCTTGCTGGGAAGCTGGGTAAGAAGCAGTCCTGTCAGCCAACGGAGAGGAGGAGCCACCGGAACAGTAGGGAGCACGCACAGCAAAGGCAGGAAGCCCTTTCTGGCAGATGTTTTATGTTAGCATTCTTCTTGGTGGGGTTTTTTTCTCCTCTGTAGGAAAAGGTTTCCTTGACCTTGGCCTACAGGAAACCCACATTTCATGTCAGCTGCACAGCTGCTTTGCCAAGGCAACCTGGGCCAAAGGTTGCTTTAATCTCTTGGGGACCATTTGAGCAATACATACACAATCAGTGTCCCCTCCAGAGGAGTAGTTGTGACAACCAGCTAGAAACGCAATGCTGGGTAGAAACAGCTCTGAGTAAACTGGACCCGAGTCCTAACACAGATGCTTCCCATCCCCATGGTGGGCATGGAACGAGCACAGAGGTGCATGCTGGTGCTAACTTCAGTTTGTCAGCTTCTCCAGCAGCAAGTCTACCTGGGTTGCTTTTAGCTGTTGGGCTTTTGCAGAAGGATGTTTGGAGACCAAGGAGCTCATGGTGCAGACTGAAGGCGCCTGTGCTTCAGCATTTCTTTTGAGAGCCCTGAGGAAGTCACTCAGGCCAGCACTTGGGAGGAGGAAATGAAGAGCCTGCAGGCTGGCCCTGCACGGCTGGGTCTCTTGCCACTCTTAGAGTTGTTGCTGGTGCATTTCACAACCAAAACCTATTTCCGTCTTAGGACATTGCCAAGGCTGTCAAGCACTCCTCTAAGAAATTCATGAAAATCGACAAGCCTCCGGTGTGCCTCAAGTTATTGCAGAACGGCAAGAAGTACAGACTGGTCAGTGAACCGGAAGCCGACATCACCCCCGAGGTACATATTTTACACACCAGCTTGGAGTAATCGCGGGGATCGATGAACATGTCTTAGCTATGGTGTTTTGAATCCATTACAATGGTGAAAAGGAATCTATTTTGTTCTCATTTTTTATTTCCTACTTATACGAAAACAGTTGTCTTGCTAATCTTGTAGCCTATTCCAAAGATGCTTTTTTTTTTTAATCCTCACCTGAGGATATTTTTCCATTGATTTTTCGAGAGAGGGTAAGAAAGGGGGAAATATTAATGTGAGAGGAACACATGGATTGGTTGCCTCCTGCATGAAGCCTGACCAGGGCCTGGGCCGGGAAGGATCCTGTAGGTGCCTTTTTTTTTTTTTTTTTTTTAATATATTTTATTGATTTTTTAACAGAGAGGAAGGGAGAGATAGAGAGCCAGAAACGTCGATGAGAAAGAAACATCGACCAGCCGCCTCTTGCACATCCCCTACCGGGATGTCCCCGCAGCCAACGTACATGCCCTTGACCGGAATCGAACCCGGGACCTTTCAGTCCGTAGACCGACGCTCTACCACTGAGCCAAAACGGTTTCGGCCTGTAGGTGCCCTTGACTGGACTTGAACCCAGGACCCTTTGGTCTGTAGGCCAATGCTCTACCCACTGAGCTAAACCGGCGAGGGCCAAAGATGCTTTGAATTTAAGGATTAGTCTGCAACCATTGCAAAGATAGACTAGCCAATTGCTTTCCCTTTTAAAGGGTTTTAAATTTTCTTGAATGCTTTATTAAATTCTTCAGTATTAGCATCAAAGGGATGAAAAACTCAAGTTTTATTTTAAGTAACAGAGCATTTAAGGTTAATGGAAAGGAATTGCTAACAAGGGAGTTTGGGCTTTTCTTACTGGAAGGCATTTGAAAAATAGTTATGGGAACATATTGCCATTTTGATTTAAACTATTCACTGTGCACACCATGGCATTTGCAAGTGATTTCATTTTCTCGTAAATGAGTGAGTTATTCTTAAAACTTATTTTCGTTATGTGCTCTGAATGTGTGCCATAGCTTATCTAGCCTAGCCGTCTGTGTAGAAATTCCTTTTGAACACCTCTCTCTGTTTCTTTTATAGTATATGAAAAGTTGAAAACATGTTTCGATTTTATTATATTAAAATATGAAGCAAGAGGGAGCTAATTGTAATGATAGGTGTTGCATTATTCTATTGTGTTATCAGGGTCCTCGTGCTCTTTGGGGCAATCAGGTTGTCAGTTTTCCGTCACTTTCGAACATAGACGGTCTTATTTCATGTCCAAGGGTCTCTTTGCCCCCATGTCGTTTGAGACTTATGACAATGCAGCTGTGGAAACTAATGTGATCAGAGCAGGCATGTGATCAAATCGCACACCTAGGCAGCAGGGAGCCTGGCTCTGAGCTCCCGCTGCCCTTGGCTCCCAAAGCCATGGTTGTATCACGGATTCTGATCAAGCCCTATCAGACGGCACCTCAAGACAATGACAAGAAGCAGACTGCAGCCTTGTCCGGGAGGTGCAATTCGATTTGAAGGGTTTGGTTAGGACAGTGGTCGGCAAACTGCGGCTCACGAGCCACATGCGGCTCTTTGGCCCCTTGAGTGTGGCTCTTCCACAAAATACCACAGCCTAGGCAAGTCTATTTTGGCGTTAGAAGAAGTTTAAGTTTAAAAAACATGGCTCTCAAAAAAAATTTTAATCGTTGTACTGTTGCTATTTGGCTCTGTCGACTAATGAGTTTGCCGACCACTGGCTTAGGATAGTGATTCTTGGCCTTTGCTGCATAATGGAATCCCTGAGGAGCTTGAAAGAAGGCTGTGGCCTCCAGAGGTGGTGACTTACTGCTCTGGGAAGGGCCTGGGCGTCGGGCTTGTGAAAGCTCCCACGGTGACCCATGTGCCGCCAAGGTTAAGAGCCACGCAGAGTGGGATAACGCACAGTGAGCGTGTGGGGTCTGCTCAGAAAGGGACCGCCATGGTTCCGCAAGGCTTTTCTTACAAAGATGGCGGTGGCTGGGATTTTAAATAGTCTAGTTCTGTCACGGGCTGTGTGTGCTCTCTTAACCAAATTTCTGGCATTTAAAAACGGGGATAATCTCCCAAGATTGCACAGAGGGTTGAATAAGTGGTGTTTTTTTGTTTTGTTTTGTTTTTTTTTTGGGGGGGGGCACTCTGAAATTTGTAGAACTCTGGGTAAATCTAAAAGAGTTCTTACTCATTTTATACCATTCATGATTTCTTTTACTGCCATTTGTGAAAAGTGACTATTCCAAGTAGGCCTGGGAGGAGAGCTAAGCATTAAAAAAGCCAGTCGGTCACGAGCGTTTCCCTCCAAAGACACCAGCCAAGAGGGAGAAATGCGTTTCTGTGAAGAGGTAATTTTCACATGATGCGGTGTTACCGTCGAGATGGGTGCACAGTGCAGCGGGTTTTCAGGAAGGTTCCCACGTGGTGACATTGGGTGTGGGTGTGGAGGGTGAGGGGCCCCTGGGGGAGGGAACAGCAGTGCCTCGGTGAGGTGATGGCATGGGCAGCAGGACTTGCCTGGGGGTCGTTGCAGGGAGGGGAACACACAGGGCTTTGGGAAGAATGGGGCAAAGGGAGGGCGTTATCTTCGCTTTATGGGCCCTGGTGACCCTTTGAAGGTTGTGAGGGTAAAGCTAGTGATTTGGGATGGAAGGGGAGAGGGGCCGGTTAAAGCCATTGGTTTATTATGGCCAGGCCCGGGGTGATGTAGTGACACAAAGGCAATGAGATACTGTGGGTTGTGTTTTAGATTCACCACAATAAGGTGAATCTCGCAATAAAGTGAGTCACAAGTGTTTTGGTTTCCCAGTGCATCTAAGAGTTACGTTTATACTATATTAATGTCAGTATTAGGTGTGCAATAGTATTATGTCTAAAAAAAACAAACCAATGTACAGCCTGACTGAACATTGGGGTTCTAAACATCAGTGGTTGAAGATCGAGTTATGAACCAAGAGGTCACGGTTTGATTCCCGGTCAAGGGCACATGCCTGGGTTGCAGGCTCAGTTCCCAGTGTGGGGCGTACAGGAGGCAGCCGGTCAATGATTCTCTCATCATTGATGTTTCTATCTCTCTTTTCCTCTCCCTTCCTCTCTGAAATAAGTAAAAATAAATAAAGAAATAATGTACATACTTAATTAAAAAAATACTTTCTTGCTTAAAAAATGCTAACCATCAGCGTGTCAAAATGTTTTTGCTGATGGAGGGTCTTGCCTCAGTGTTGATGGCTGCTGAATGGTCAGGTGGAAGTTGCTGAAAGTTGGGTGCCTGCTATCTTAGTTTTTTTTTTTTTTATTGTAATATATATATTTATTGATTTCAGAGAGGAAAGGAGAGGGAGAGAGAGATAGAAACATTAATGATAGGATCATTGATCGGCTGCCTCCTGCATGTTCCCTACTGGGGATTGAGCCCACAACCCAGGCCTATGCCCTCGACTGGAATTGAACCTGGGATCCTTCAGTCTGCAGTCCAAAACTCTCTCTGCTGAGCCACACCTCGGCTAGGGCCGGAAGTGTGTTTTTTACATAATAAGACTTGAAAGTAGAAATTACTCCTCGATCCATGGCTGCAGAATGGGTATTGTGTTAGTAGGCATGGGAACGTACATCTCATTGTGCATTTCCAACAGAGCTTTTGAGTGGCCAGGTGCATTGTCAATGAGAAACAATGTTTTTATTTATTTATTTAATAATTCTTTGTTGTTGAAAGTATTATATATGATCCCTATTTCCCCCATTGACTCCAGCCCACTCCTATATCCCCCCTCCCCTCCCCAGGCCTTTAGAACCCCACTGTCTGCATCCATGGGTATACATATATGCATTCAAGGTCCCTGGTTGATTAACTCCCACCCACCCATCCTCCCCCACCTTCCATCTAAGATTCCACACTTGAGTGGCAATATTTTTAAAGGAAACTTTTTTTTTCTTTTTTTTTTTTTCCTGAACAATAAGTCTCAACAGTGAACTAAAATATTCAGTAAGCCATGTTGTAGGCAGCTGTGCTGCCTTCCAGGCTTTGTTGTTCCAGAGCACAGGCAGGGTAGATTTAGCATAATCCTTAAGGGCCCCGGGATTTTCAGAATGGTCCATGAGCATTGGCTTCACCTTCATGTCACCAGCGGCATTAGCCTCCAACAAAGGAGTCAGCCTGTCCTTTGAAGATTTGAAGTCAAGCATTGACTTCTCCTCTCTCGCCATGAAAGTCCTGATGGCACCTTCTTCCAGTGGAAGGCTGTTTTGTCTACATTGAAACCTGTTGTTTGGTATAGCCACCTTCTTTAATTATCGTGTCTAGATTTTTCTGGATAACTTGCCTCAGCTTCTAGATCAGCACTTGCTGCTTCACCTTGCACTTTTATGTTATGGAAATGGCTTCTTTCCTTAAACCTCTGCAGCTTCCTCACCTCTCTCGGCCTTCATAGAATAGAATAGAGTTAGTGTCTTGCTCTGGATTAGGCTTTGGTTTAAGAAAATGATGTGGCTGGTTTGATCTTCTATCCAGAACATGAGAACATTTTCCATATCAGCAACAAGGCTGTTTCACATTCTTATCATTTGTGTGTTCACTGGAATAGCATTTTTAATTTCCATGAAGAACTTTTCCTTTGCAGTCACAACTTGACTAACTATTTGGTGCAAGAGACCTTGTTTTCGGCCTGGGTTGGCTTTCAGCATCCCTTCCTCAATAAAATTTCAAGTTTTTGATCTAAAGTGAGAGATGTACGTATGACTCTTCCTTTCATTTGAACATTTAGAGGCCATAGTCGGGTTATTAATTGGCCTATTTTCAATATGGTTGTGTCTGAGGGAATAGGGAGGCCTGAGGAGAGGGATAAAAGTAGGGAAACGGCCAGTTGTTGGAGCAGTCAGAACACACATATACTTATTGATTAAATTCGTGATGCCCCAAAATATTTATAATACTAACATCAAAGATCATGATTGCAGATCACCATTGCAGATTATTATAATAAAAGGCCAAGAGGCGTCACGTCACAACCAAAACAACCAAACAACCAGTCGCCCTGAGGTGGCATTGACCACCTTAGCTGTGTCTGGTGGGTGACAGTGGCGGCTGGAGGGAAGCAGCCTGGGTCCCGAGTGCCTGGCAGCAGCCGGAGCAAAGCAGCTGGGTCCTGGGTGCTTGAGGGAAGACGGTGCCGGCAGCTAGGGGAAGGAAGGCCTATTCCTGTACAAATCTTTGTGCATCAGGCCTCTAGTATAATAACAACGAAGGAGTCTGAACCGTGGGAATTTCCAAAACGTGACACAGAGACACGAAGTGAGCAAATGCCTTTGGGAAAATGGCGCCTGTAGGGTTGCTACAAACCTTCAGCTTGTAAAGAGCCTAACATCGGTGAAATGCAATAAAACAGCGCACGAGTTGTACTTTTTAAAAAATGCATTTCATAAGGCACGAGGCAGCTGTGTAGCGGTGAAGAGTGCATACTTTGGCGTCAGAAGATGTGGGCGCACATTAAATTCTACCACTTCCTACATGTGAAGTTGGGCAAGTTAATTTGCTTCTCTGAGATTCTTTACCCATAAAATAGAAAGAGGGTTTGGTGGGGGAAGACGTGCAGGGAGGAAGTGTGGATAAAACACGCAGCACAGTCTGTGCATGCTGTTGCATCTGTTCTATCCTGATTGCATAACCCGATCTAAGCCAGAGCAGGTGAGGAAGTTCAAACGCATTGACTAAAGGGCGGCTGGTGGGTGAGTTTGGGAACAGGAAACATGAAATCAGGAAAGGGCTGAGAAGTTAAGCTTTAGGAAAATGTAGCAGAAAAGGAAGCAAGAGAATAAGAGGGTGTTTGATTCAGGAAAGGGATTTCCGGGGCCAAGGTGTCCGTGAGCATTCAAGTAAGCATTAACCTATCTAATAATGGCTCACATTTATTATGTTTGACACCCATTGACGGCATTTTATGTCGTCAGTGAGTGAATACAACTTTGCCATAAAAAAAAAAAAAAAAATCACTTTTTTTTTTTTTTTTTTTTTTTAAGGAAATTGAATTTGTGGATGGTTCCACTTTAAAACTGAAAAGTTATATTGAAGTTTATTTGGAGCAACCAATGGAGTTTAAATTACTGTTGGTCGAAATGGATTCCGACGAGATTGTGTGGAAAGCCAAACTGAGAGAATGTAAGTGTTTTATATCTTAAAGGAAAACTGGTGTGTGGGGGCTTGGGGTGGAAAAGCAAATAGAGTGATTGTCCCGTCAGCATAACATTTCAAGATCCGGTGGAGGGGAAGGCGCCACTCCTGGGATCCTGGGACAGAAGTGCGGCCCTGATTCTCAGGCACCCACACCCAGCTCCTGGGGATCTGTGGATGGCTCAGGGCGTCTGTGGAGACTTCAGACAGTGGGGGAGTTGGCCTGGGGAGTTGTTGTTTTCTTACCATTCTGAGGCTTGGATCTCAGATATTTTAGGGGCATGTGACATGCCCCGGATGTAGCTCTGCATTTTGGCTGACTGCGTGTCTCACTGGCTGACTCTCCCTCTTCGGCCTTCAATGGATAGTTCCCGTTCTCTGCGATTACAGCTCTGCTGGGAGGGCCCATTGCCCCTGTGTCCCCCTGTTCAAATTCTTGGGGCTGGGAAGCCCTCTGATAGTGCCCCCCCTCCCCCCCCCCAACATCCTCTCCTGCTCATTATTTATCTCAAAAATTCAAGCCCAGTGCATTTGCGCACATATCAAATGTGACGCCCCAAACTCATGTGTTTGGGGTGTCGCATTTGATATGTGCGCAAATGCAACTGCAGAGAGGTTGCCAAGACCCCAGAGCTTCACCCGCTTCCACAAGTCGATTTCTTGAATTCTGATTTCGTGCCAGTTTTTCTAAGGGATGCTTCCTGTACTCTGACAGGTGACTGGGTTCAACACGAACAGAGTCAGAACGTTTCCAAGAGCAGCACAAGTGGTAAGTGCTGGTAGCCGGACAGTAGGCGAGTCGTGCCCACTCTGTGTTCCTCCCGTCCGCCGGGATTTGTCTTTTGCTGCGCCGAGGTGGCGGCATTGTGGATCTGTTAAGTGCTCTGTGACTCTGTCAATCATCTGGACAATCTTGGAATCCATGTTCAATTGTTTTCTACCTGGATGATGAAACTTAAAAAAAAAAAAAAAAATCCAGATTGAGGGTAATAAACACGATGGAAAGCAGACTTGTTGATCCTTTTCTCTTTTTTAAGGTAAAAGGCGGCGTAAAGTAAGTAGCACTTTGCCTGAAGAGGAGATCAATGCTAAAAGGCTGAAGCAGGTTGACACGTCAGGTTTGTAACGCTGTCCTCAGCGGCCATCAGTCATTTCCCGGGCTCTCCCGTCGACGTTCATCCATCACACATGCTCTCGGATCGGTGTTCCTGGCACCACATCCGGTTGTGGGCACACGTGTCCCAGCGCCTCGGACCTGGATAAGGGTCCCTCTTGGCCTGCCCCGGCCTATTTTCCCATTTGATCCCCTGCTTCTCCCCTTCCCTCAGCAGGACTGTGAGGTAGAGGGTTCCTTGCAGTCCTTAATGGTAGGGCTGTACCTATCCATCGTTACATTTCCCGTAGCATGGAGCATGGAGCCTCGTGTAGGAGACGGTGAGCATTCCATTCAAGCAGAATGAATGGGATTGTGAATGTCCATGTGTGCGTTCATTGGCTTCACAGTTGTTAGCTATTTCGGGGTGAAGCACCTCCAGTTCAGTCATTAGAGGCAGGTCTCAGCTAGGCTCAAAAGTTGTGAAAACACAATGGAGATTTAAAACATTTAACAATACTCTTAAGGCGCCAGAAAGATGGAACTCGTAGTTCAAAATGCAAGTCCAACGAGAATTCACAAATCTAAATTTAAAAGCCCAGACTCAAATTATATGAGACAAGATCTCAAGCAGTTAGGAACCTCATATACATCTTCAAATGAACCCTTACACCAAAGTACCTTTTCTTTTACTGTTATTGTAAGAAGGCATGAATCTATAAAAGCAGGCAAACTCTGTAAAATGAAATAAGATATCTGTGTTACACTTTCAAGAGCGGGAGATGGTAAGGATGACATGAATGGTTTTACTGTATATTGCTATAGAGATGTTTGTTATTTTTAATAGTCAACACCAAAATAAGTGAGGCTCTGGAATTATTTTTAAAACATAACTACATCGAGATGCAATTTTTCTCCAGTTCTATTGAGAGATAATTCGACAGATAAAATTGTATATACTAAAGGGTACAACATTATGATTTGATATACATGTACATTATGAAATATTTGTCAATCAGGTTAATACATTCATCACCTCACAGTTACTTTTTATTTTAGTGGCGAGAACACTTAAGATTTACTCTCTTAGCAAATTTTAAGTATATAATACTGTATGGTATTATTAGCTTTAGTCACCATGCTGTACATTAGATCCTCAGAAATTATTCATCTTATAACTGAGTGGGGCATAGTTTTTATTTGATTGACTTATAGGACAAGTTTTTCTTTATGTTTTTATTGGTTGTAGAGGGAGAGGGGAAAGAGAGAGTAACATTGATGAGAGACAAACATCAGTGGGCTGCTTACTGCACGCCCCCTACGGGGAATCGAGCCTGCAACCCAGGCATGTGCCCTGACTGGGAATCAAACTGGTATCATCTTGGTTCATGGGTTGACACAACCACTGAGCCATGCTGGCTGGGCAAGTTTTTCTGTTTCATGCAATTATTTGGCTATTTACAATGAGCCCAGGTGGCATGGCTCAGTGGTTGAGCATCAACCTATGAACCGGAGGTCAGGGTTCGATTCCTGGTCTGCACATTTGCCCAGGTTGTGGGCTTGATTCCCAGTAAGAGTTGTGCAGGAGGCAGCATATTGGTGATTATCTCTCATTATCGATGTTTCTATCTCCCTCCCTCTCCCTTCTCTGAAATCAATAAAAAATATATTTTAAAATATTAATAAATCTATACTAATAATAGAGGAATATGCAAATTGTCTGGGGACGCTGTTACAATAACAGTAACGACCAAACAGCAGGCTGCTTGGGGTGACCAGGCTGGCAGGGGAAGCAGTTATGGGCGACCAAGCCAGCAAGTGGAGGCAGTTGGGGGTTGGGGGCGACCAGGCTGGCAGGAGGGGCAGTAAGGAGCGACCAGGCCAGTGGGGGCTGGGGGAGGCAGTTAGGGGTGATTGGGTTGGCAGGCAGAGGTAGTTAGGGATGACTGGGCTTGCAGGGCTCGCAGTTAGGGGTGATCAGGTAGGCAGGCAGGTGAGCAGTTGGGAGCCAGCAGTTCCGGATTGTGAGGGGGATTTCCCAGATTGGAGAGGGTGCAGGCTGGGCTGAGGGGGATACCCCTCCCCCCACCCCATGCACAAATTTCATGCACCGGGCCTCTAGTAAATAAATATAATAAAATGAGCTCCAATACCGAGTAGCTAGAAATAGAATCAAAACGATCAAATGCACCCAGAAAGATTATGGATTTCCAACTGTTTTGGAGTTGATAACAGTGTAGGATCTAAGTAAATAAATTAATTAATAAAGACTTTTCGTTTGTTTGATTAGGTATTCCCTCAATATTCTTTGAGATGTTCAGTCACTAGCCTGGCAGTTTCAGACTCAATATATCACTGTGTTGCTTTTAAAAATATGATAAGTATTATTTTGAGATCTTGTTAAAATTTAGGCCCAGCGTGTGATACAGTGAGTTTTGGGATGGTCTTGAGAACTTCCATCTAAGTAGGTTCCCTGTGCAGTCGTTTTCATCTACTGGAGTCTCGAGAGCTAGGAGCAGTCGGCCATGTATCAGGAAACCACCAGAGGGCGAAGGCCTTCCTTAAGAACCCGTTCTTCAGTCTAGAAAGTTAGAGAGAGGAAGCCGAAGTGGAAAAGGTCCAAGCACAGAGTTAGATTCACATGAATAAGTTGCTGTCTTTGGAGCAGCAGTGTTGCAGCCCTGGAGGAGGGGCAGGAATTATTCTTCTTACCTCCCACTCCCTTCTCACGTCCTCCAGTATTTGTCATGCCTCGAGGATCCTTACCCGGAACTCCGCAACCTGTGAGCTTGGCTGCATCATGGTACAGAGCGATCGTCCAACATCTAGTTTAATGATAATGCTAATATTTTTATGGGGCCGGTAGTTTGCATTGGCAGATATATGCTCTTCCAAGATTATAACGCTGATTCTTGGAGATAACAGCTATTACAGATAACCATCCCATGACTTTGCTACAGGACGTGCTGTTCCCCTAGTGCCAGGAGATGGTGCAATAGAGACTTGGATGCAGACATTTTTTTTTAATATATTTTTATTGATTTCAGAGAGGAAGGGAGAGGGAGAGAGAGAGATAGAAACATCAATGATGAGAGAGAATAATTGATTGGCTGCCTCCTGAACGTCCCCACTGGGGATCAAGCCCATAACCCAGGCATGTGCCTTTGACCGGAGTCGAACCTGGGACCCCTCAGTTTGCAGGCTGACGCTCTATCCATTGAGCCAAACCAGCCAGGGCCGATGCAGACATCTTGCGAGCATTTAGATGGAGACACAGAGGTCACAAGGGCAAAGCTGTATATTTTTCTTTTTGAGGCCCATAAATTCTTTTTGGTATCTGAATTTTTATATTCCAACCTGATTTGTGCTGCTTTGTAAAAGTCACATTTATAATTATGAACATTATACTCCAGTTTAATGTTACTATATAAAAAGGGTTCCCTTTAGTTCTTAAGATAGTTTGGAAAGCAAGGATTTTTGGCATTTAAATATATTTTAAAAGCAGTTAGTGTTACTACAAATATAGTCTCTCTTTTTTTTTTTATCCTCACCAGAGGATATTTTTCCATTGATTTTTAGAGAGAGGGAAAGACATGGAGAAATATCGATGTGAGAGAAACACAGTGATTGGTTGCCTCCTGCAAGCACCCTGACTAGAGGGCCCTGGCAAGAGAGGGACCTGCAGCAGAGGTATGTGCTCCTGACTGGAATCCAACCTGGGACCCTTTGGTCCACAGGCTTACTCTCTACCCACTGAGCCAAACCAGCTTGGGCTCAGTCTCTTTTCTAATAGGAGGAGGATATATTTTCATTGTAAGTAGTTACCAAGTGTTGAGAGGAACTACTGAATTCCTCATCTGCTTTTAGATGCAGCAAAGACCCCGGTAACAGACGATCAGTTGATTACCCTTGCTGGGAAGTTGGGGAAGGAGTGGATAAAAGTTGCCATTGTCAACCTGGAGTTGGACATCAGCGATATCGACGATATCCGGGAGAAGAATGAAAATGTGACGATTTGTAAGTTTTGGATGCTGAAGAAGTGGCAGGAGAAGGAGAAGAGCAACGCCACAGTCCAGAATTTACATAGCTGCTTGAAAAACGTCTCGGCGGAAGTCCAGGATGTGCTGGAAGGTGAGCAGGAAATGGTCTGAAGCCATGGACTTGGAGCCAAGCTGTGTCTTTGTGAATAGCAGATTTCTACTGTAAAACGTGATGCTTGTGTATGTATAAGTTTGGGTTCAGATTATTACGCAAATGCAGCCGTGAGCTAGTGGCCTGCGATAGCCTAAGTCAGTGGTCGGCAAACCGCGGCTCGCAAGCCACATGCGGTTCTTTGGCTCTTGCACAAAATTAAGTTAACAAGGTGCCTACTTATATAGTTTAAGTTTAAAAAATTTGGCTCTCAAAAGAAATTTCAATCGTTGTACTGTTTGCTATTTGGCTCTGTTGACTAATGAGTTTGCCAACCACTGGCCTTAGTCATGATGATTTGTGCATGGAGTCAGAGGAAGGGGTTCAAATCCCAGCTCAGGTGCTGGCTAGCTTGGTGACCAAGCAAATTCTTTTTTTTTTTTTTTTAAATATACTTTTGTTGATTTCAGAGAGGAAGGGAGATAGGGAGATAGAGAGAGAGGAACATCAGTGATGAGAGAGAATCATTGATTGACTGCCTCCTGCACACCCCCTACTGGGGATCAGGCCCATCACTGGGGCATGTGCCTTTGACCGGAATCCAATTGGGGACCCTTCAGTCTTCAGGCCGACAATCTGTCTACTGAGCCAAACTGGGTAGGGCTTTTTTTTTTTTTAAGAGGTTTAGAGGTTGAGATATTTTATTGCACCTTTGGTGACTGGTTGTGGGGCTCAGTCCCTCCTGGTGTAGCCCCCTGTAGAGGAGGCCATATCAGTTCCCGTCCCTGTAGCCTAGGAGCCAGGCTGGACTGAGCCCCCAGGGCTTCCTATGGACAACGGCACCGTAAAATTACCCGTGATTATCAATAAAATCATCACAGAGTCTTGGTTCTGACTGCTCTTCAGGTTTCCCGCTGGAAGTGTGAGAAGACGGCGAAGGACATGGGCAGAGTTTTGTCTCAGCCTGAAGTCGTGCCCGCCCACTCTCCTCTGAGAGTTTTCACGGTTCAGCAGGTGCAGAGGGGCTGGCTCGTTCTCTTTCTGATTTCCTTCACGAGGTCTTCTCCTCGGACAGCCACCTCTTCTCCGCTGGCCGCTGAACGGAGCTTGGTGACCCCGTCCTGAGCTCCCGCTCACTGACGATGGGAGGCCTGCCTCCTCACAGCACCGCAGCCGGCTCCGTAACTTTGGGTTTTTCTTGTAAAGCAGCTCAGCCTCGATCCCGGCACTCCGCAGCTCTGAGACAAGCTTCTGTCTCAGCTCCAGCAACTTCTGTATGGATGCTACAGCCCCTGTGTCTCTGTGGGCCATACCTTTTCCCTCCACACCTCTGGCCTCAGTTTTTTTCTTATCATTGATGATTTTCTTTCTCTCTTTCTCCCCTTCCTCCCCCCCTTTCTTCCTCTCTGAAATCAATAAAAATAGATTGAAGCTTCAGGCAGGTAGTAAGGCTCTGTAAAGAATAGATAAGGATGTCATTTTGGTACTTGAGAGACAACTGGTAGCACTGAGCCTTCTGGGCCTTCCCCAGGCGCTGAAGCAGTGCTCCAGGAGTCCACTGGGTGGCACTAGTGAACCTCGGTTGGCAAAGAGGGGAAGGTGAGTGGGCGAGGCCGAAGGGAGTTGTTCCAGAAAACCACAGGGTTCCTTCCTTTGTTTTTAAGCACTTCTTTTTTTTGTGGTTTTGATTTCGTTATATCCAAGATCAAACCGATTCAAAACGTCGGTTATACTATATCGTTGCCCTAGTTAACAAATGCGGTGTTACTGCTCAGAAACCTCGGTAAGTCAGAGAGAGGTTTTTATTTGGAATGCTATTTAAATTTTTATTCCGAAAGGGATGTGAAGTGTACACAAGCCCTGAAAGTTTATAAGCACTCGCTGACCCCTCAGGATGCTTTCGGGGGTGGTGGGCAAGGGTCTGAACCCCACCCCCCACCCCCCAGGAGCCTTGGGGTACAGAAGCATCACGCAAATAGAACGGTTACTAGTTTCACCGTCGAGGTTTTCATTCGTATTCTTGGCTGTGTTGAAATTCTGTGGATTACGGAGGCCCACGCGTGGAGATCGCATTTGCATGTGGGGCGCTGTGTACAGCAGCGGCCACACGACTGCGATAACCAGATGGCTCAGAACATCCATCTCAGACCCTTCGTAGCAAGTTGTTATCTTGTGTTGTTTGTTTTTATCGGCTCCTGACCTTGCTGACACCTGATTTGCTGATACATTAGAAATACAGAAGGGCTTGTGACATCATTTTGGCAGTACAGGGATCGTAAACACTTACTGGTCCAATCTCCTCATTAAATAGGAAAAGAAAAAATCTTTCAGTTAAAAACAAACACCCCTCCCACTCCCCAATTTACCAATATTTTATGCCCTCCTGAAGCAAAAATACCTGGCTAATTGGCTGAAGTTTGTATTATATATATTTTTTAATCGGGATGTTTCAGTATCTTATCGCCTTTACGTTGCAGTGGCTTCTCTTCAGCTCAGGAAACGCAGCAATGAAAGGTTCAAGTCGGTCATGGGTGGGCAGGCTAAATCGCCATCTCAGACGGTGATTACAGAAAGTGGAATTTATTTACGGAAAAGGGGATGGGGCGATCCAAAGGGAAGAGCTGCACAGCACCAAACCCTGGGGGTACTGGGTTGATGGTGGCAGCATGAATATACTTAGGATGGTGAAACGAGGAAGGGCACCGCAGAAGCAGCAGGAGAGCCTGGGCTGGGCCTCTTTGGCTCTCTGGGAAGTCAGAGAAAAGGGGGCTTTGGAGACAGGTTTGGGGGTGAGCCCAGGATGAGCTGCCATCGCCCGTTGCTCCCCTGATTGCAAGTCTCCTGGGGTCCCTTAGAGGTGAGGGGACACATACATGTGGGGGGAGGAGATGGGGGAGGAATGGCATGGGCCTGCTCCTTGCAGGGAGAGCATGCACTGGTTCTTTGTCCTGAGCGTAGCTGTCTCTGTCTTGCAGGTGGAAATCTCAGGGGAGGCCTCAGGGGAGGGTCTTCGTAGAATATCCAGCAGCTTTTTAGGGGGCCGGTCTCCACCTTTTCAGGCGATCGGTCCGCGCAGGGCAGGGGGTCTTCAGTCAGTGCAGCTGGTTCTGAGGCAGCCATGGTGCCACGTGGGGATATCCAAAGGGTTTTGGTTTTGCTGCCTTTCGGGGCCTGGAGCTGAAATACTACTGAGGCCTAGTCATTGTATCTAGGAAGGAAAAGATCAGGGCGTCTAAACCACATGAAAGACCCAGGGTCCACACCGCACGACCAGTGACATGCGAGGGGAGGGCAGGTTACCCCGAGGGGCGACGTTCTTATTTTCCCAGTTTCTCCTGTTGCTAGGCAGCCGGGGCCTCCTGCCCTGGAGAGTTTCTGTATCTGGCCCATCATCCTTGCTCTGCACATCTGTCTAACAAACAGCTCCCAGGAATTCCTTCTTTCCTTTCCCCACAAGTTTCTTTTTTAAAATACACAAGTGATTTTATCTCAGCACTTGCCCGGTTTTCCGCGTTAACGAATCTCTAAATGTGTTTAATTCTTTGTTTTGTCAGGTTTCTTATAGGCAACATGAAATTTAGAAGATGAACCGAAAAAGGAAGCCTCAGGAACGTTTTATCCGCGAAACACCATTTCACCGGGTCATTGGGGTAGCGACTTAATGCGACCTTGAACCCAGTCTCTGGAACAACTTCTTCCCCGCCCGCCCCTCTGTAGCTCACACTATCCAGGGGCAAAGAGAATGCAACATTTTGGGAAAACTTGAGGAAGAAAACACCTTTATAACCTCAAGATTTTTTCTTTTATTTTTTGGCACCTCTGGCTCACACCATCCCACCAGCTCCCCACCCCAAATAGGTACCATCCCAAAGGGTGCTTAAAATAACTCAACTCAGGCAGGTGAGAAATGTGGTAATATTCTTTTTTCGGAGCCGAGTGGACTCTGAAATTCCTACCAAGTGTTTGGAACACTTTTAGCAGCGACACGGTGGTGCGCTTACACTTGCACCGATTCAGTGTAGCTTTTGTCGGGCTGACATTCATCACGACGAGAGGTTCCTGTTCTCCCAGCCTCCACAGGTTTGGGGGGGTGATCCCAGGATGAGCTGCCGCTGCCCATTGCTCCCCTGGTTGCAAGCCTCCCGGAGTCCCTTAGAGGGTACGCATGCCACTGGGCACAATGGATCTTTCCACGTGGGATTGAATTTTTTCCGCGTCGCCCATCTCTAACCTCTCTGGTTAGCGGCCCGTTAAACAGTCAAACCCATCCGGTCGCCTGGTCCCGGAGTGATTAGAACGGAATGTCATCCTCTCCCCATCGGAGCGTTGATAAGCTCACTCCCAGGTGATCTCCTCGCCTTCCCCGGGCAAGTTCAACTGGACCCGCTGTCAGAGTTGCTGTAAGTGTCATCAGCTTTCTGAGCTCGCCGGGCCAAGCACTGCCTTTCTGGACTGTGACCCTGGGATCGTTTACTTTGGGGGTGGGGGTAGGTGGGGAACCCGCTCAGAAACGGCCTCCGCCGGACCACGGGAGAACCGTCGCCTCTTCTTGAAGAAGACTCGCCCTCGGGGACCATGGGTCACACTGGCTCTTGATAATTGGTGTGTTCTGTGTGTACAGATACTGTCCCTCCTCCAGAATCATGCCTGTGGTGATTAGCATTTTGGATATGTGTTGTTAACTTATTGGAAGACACTATCAATTGCCCTTTAGTCTTCTGTCGTCATTAGCTGGAGAGTAAAATGAATCTCAATGAATTAAGCAGAGAGACACACTTTATGGTTTTGCCTGTGAAGAAGAACAGATTTACTTTATAGGGAATAACGTATTTTTTAACTGTCCGGGATCCTGTGGAATTCAGATCAGTGTCACTTTAATGAGTTTTTTTGTTTTGTGTTGTTTTTTTTTTTTAAAATTGTACTATATTTTAGGAAACACGTGGACTTTTAACATTCGGAAGTGTAAACTACGTAAAAGGACTTAAATTTTTTAAATGTTTATTATTTTTTTATAAGTTGTTTTTCAAAGAAAAGCATAATTGCAGAAAAGCTTTGTATATCAGCTGGTTTCCTAGCCATTTTCATACTATGGATGAAGGGAAGAAAAATAAACCTGCATTTATTTGTACAGTGCACGTGGGCTCCCTAGTGTTCTTACTTATTTACAAGTGGTGTCTGATAGCATCGGGCCCCTCGGTTGCTATTACTGTGACTGGATGTTGGCTAGTTTATTTTTTATTTTATTTTATTGATTTTCCACAGAGAGGAAGGAGAGGGATAGAGAGCTAGAAATGTCAATGAGAGAGAAACATTGACCAGCTGCCTCCTGTACACCCCCTACCAGGGATGTGCCTGCAACCAAGGTATATGCCCTTGACCAGAATTGAACTTGCACCCTTCAGTCCGCAGGCCGACGCTCTATCCACTGAGCCAAACCGGTTTTGGCTGCTGGCTAGTTTTGTGCCCAGGGGTCTAGGTCTTGGGCAGAGGCTGAGTGAGTGAGTATTAACCTACCCCCAATCTGCCCTCCCCGCCTCCCGCCCCATAACCTAGTGCACCCAGAGTTTGCACAGGTCTCACTCCGGGATGCTTTAGAGCTTTTTCTCCGCCCCTGGCCATGGGAAGGTATGCTTTTACTTTAAACCCGGTGGGTCTGTATTAGTTCCTCACCCGTGCGGCTCTCTAATGGGATTCTGCACATTTGGAACCCATGCTATTTCATTGTATTGCTTAGGGCAACAGTTTCCTCCTCGGCTTTGTCACGTGGAAGCGCATTTTCACTCCGTTTTCTAAAGAAGCCACTTGGGTTGCCTTTGTCTAAATGTGCTCTCATGGGGCGGTGGCTCCAGCAGTTGTCACAGGCCTTGGGTGAAGCAGAAGGGCAGGTCCCAGCCGGGGAGCCTGGATGTTGCTGCTGGCCAGCCTTGCTCTTTTTCATACAGTTTGAGCATTTCTGATAACGGCCCTGTAGCTGCTGGGACTAACCTAGAAGCCCCCGGGGTTGAATTCTGAGCTCAGGTTCCAAAGTTCTTCCTGTTTCTCCACCGAGACCTCCGGCTCTGCCCTGGGGCCTCCAGGGGATTGAGATCCAGTCTGTCCCGACCACGGTGTCCATCACAGCCTTTCCCAGTGGGACAGCCTGCGGGTGGCCAGCCATCGTCCTTCCGTGGAAGCCCATCCTTGCTGCTCGCTATGACCTCTGGCCTGAGCCTCACCTGTAGACAGGGCACACTCTGCAGTGACAGCAGTGTCATATTATCTCATATTATCGAGCGAGTTGGAAAAGCTAAAGGATGGTTTTGTTCCCTAAGAAAGCCTAATGGCAGGGAGGAGCTTGGAGGAGTTCGGTGAGTGTGGACTTTTCCTTGGCTGTAAGGCCGATTGTGAAGGGAAATCTCACCTGGAACTGCACCGGCCAAGTCTTCAGGAGTGGCCCTGCTCTGGCCTGGGGACCTCCTGGGGGCTACTGAGGGGTTACTGGGAGCCCTGCCGACCCCGACCCACTCTTGTCCGGCAGTGTGGGGACAGCCGATGAGATGGCTGCTGGCATCTCTCAAACGATCGCCCGGGGGTTTGTTTCTAACACACCTGCCACGGGAAATGGTCATGTTCCAGGTCACCAGGGTGGCGTGTTGGCACGTGGTTTCTGAAGAATAGTAACCACATGATCCCAAACGGTGGATTGTTTAAGTCAACAGGCTGATGAATTTGGGAAACTCCTGTCTATGAGTCACTCGTGGGTTATTCCAGATTATGGTGGAATCTAAAGAAAAGAAGGTATGTGATGGGGTCTAGCTTCACCAAAGATTTCTTACTTTTTTTTTTTTTAAATATATTTTATTGATTTTTTTTTTTTTTTTTTTTTTTTTTTTATTACAGAAAGGAAGAGAGAGGGATAGAGTTAGAAACATTGATGAGAGAGAATCATCAATCAGCTGCCTCTTGCACACCCCATACTAGGGATATGCCCGCAACCAAGGTACATGCCCTTGACTGGAATGGAACCCAGGACCTTTCAGTCTGCAGGCTGACGCTCTATCCACTGAGCCAAACCGGTTTCGTCTTCACCAAAGATTTCTATCAAATGGGGTGAGAATCTGAAAAAATGAGTCATTTGCCACACAGATGAGGACATGGGATGGCCACACACATTTCCCTCACTGTTCACAGGGACCTGAATTGGCATCTGGTGGGAGGTTCACATGAGAATGTGGGAGGAGGGTGTGGCAGGGAAGGGGGAGGGTAGGTCACTCTGAAATAGTTTGTTCTCAAGGGCACAATATGGTTATCAGAGAACTAAAATGATGTTATTCCATCAGGTGCATCTTTTAAAATCCACATGGTTTAGAGAATTACAAAGATGGAATTTAATACTTGGGTCATTAAGAGCACCTCTCTTAAGCCAAAGCAAGGCAATTATCCATGTGGTTGGGGCAGAAGTTCCATATAATTTAAAGCAAATGGAGAGTTTTTCTCAATGCAATTTAGAAACAACTTCCCCCTGCAGGCCCAAAGGGTCATGGAAATTAGATAATTTAACTAGAAGGCCTCTTAATGATGCTTTTCCCAGTTGGAGGGTATTATTATGTATTTGTCGAGTGCACAGTATGTTACAGGGCTGCGGCTAGCAGGGAAAAACATTCTCCTGTGTTTTAGATTCAGATGTTGAACAAAAATAAAGCGACTCACTCGAGGACTTCAGCATTAAAATGTATCGAGCCTAACCAGGCCCCCTTACAGTAGGTGATTAAAGCCATTAGGAAATGGGTAAGAATATGGCCACCGTCTTTCCAGGGTAATTCTGTTGTTCAGATTTCATCAGTGTTTCCAGTTTCCCCACCGTGTGTATTTCAACACTGAAAGTACTCCAGTTACACTAGAGAAATATGAAAATTCCTTTAATTTCACCATTTTATTTTAGAACAGCATCAGTTATTTCTCAAATCCATTTGAAAATAAATATTTGAATAAATAGGACATAAATAAATATAACTTAGCCCACATGCCTTCATGAACACACCATTATATAAATAAATATCTTAAAATAAATTATGCTTGAGTGTTTTGACAAACACTTTGATATAGAAATAGCTTATAAATTCTTGCTCTTCTAAAAAAACAAAACACACAAAAACAAGCCCCACACACAGTGAAGAAAACTTCCCTCTTTAGTCATTTGCTCATGAAAACTTTTAAAAAACAACTTATCCCTAGAAAATGTGGAATATACGCAAGGAAAGGACCCATATAAATAAAGTAGTTACATGTTCAACTTTTGGGTGGTTGACTAATGTAAACAACAAGAAAATCACTAGCTTAAGTCGGATCAGGTCAAGCCACCACCTCCCACACAGGCTATAAAAATCGCTTTGGTTCGAATGCCTCCAGGCTGGGCGAGGCCTGCGCCTCTTAGGAAGAATTCAGATAGCTCATCATCCTGTCGATAGTCACTGCTCGGATGCGGAAGGCGTGGAGAAGGATGCAGAGCTTGACTTTCGTCTTGTAAAGATCCAGTTCTTCCACGGGGGCGGTGTGTGGCACAGACGTGCTGCTGAGATTCAGGGCCTAGGAGGACAGATAATGAGCATGGCATACAGGGTATTCCAAGATGGAAGCACTCACCCGTAAACATGGGGGAAGCCAGCACGTGTCTCAGAGCCTGCAGCCCACCCCCTGGTTACATCCCCTCAACCCAACCCACTCTCCCAGCCAGGTGGCGGCCAGGCAGAACCTGAAAGCAGAAATTCTCATGATCCAAGCACATGTATCTCCATTGAGCTTGGAAGAGACCCTTAAAGCTCTTTCAAATACCATCAGGATTTTAAGAAATGTATTTTTCTTGATTTCAGCGAGGAAAGGTGAGGGAGAGAGAGAGAGAGAGAAATAGCAGTGATGAGAGAGAATCATTGACTGGCTGTTTCCTGCATACCCCTTACTGGGGATTGAGCCCACAACCCAGACATGTGCCTTTATCTGGAATCGAATCTGGGACCCTTTAGCCCGGAGGCCTGTTTTTTTTGCTCTTCTAAAAAAACAACCACCAAAAAACAGAAAAACAAGTCCCACACAGAGTGAAGAAAACTTCCCTCTTTAGCAATTTGCTCATGAAAACTTCACTGAGCTAAACCAGCTAAGGCTGAAATCTTTTTTAGAATAGGGAGGTGATGGATTGCTATTGATCAATACTTTCTATCAGTAACCAACGTGTTTACTACAGAAACTCATCTGTGTCAGATAAATAAACCTGGCAATGGACTTCCCAGGTTTAGCCCTTTGATCTGATAACTCAAAGCAAGACCTTACTTTTGCACAATGATCGGTAATCCCACTTATTCTCACAAAAAGCCTAAAAGAAAGGTGGGGGGGGGGGGCAAGTCCTCCCATTTTACATAAGGAGAAACTGAGGCACAGAGGTACCAAAGGTTTTGGCATAGTTGTCTGATTACTGGTCGAAATGACTCCAGTGCCTGAATCACCTCTTTGCCCTGAAAATGAAATTATTATCTACAATTCTGTAGACGGTAAGATTCTTTGATGCTACATGATGTTCAGTGTCTATCAAAGAAGTAATTTGGTGAAAGAAAGAAAGAGGGAAAGATTCCTTTTCAGACAATGATTTCTGACATTATATTTTTATCCCATGCCTGGTCACCAAAGCACTCACCTTGCTGTTTCTTATGTGATACTAGAGGCCCAGTGTATGAGTTTGTGCACTTGGGAGGTGGGGGTGGGGGTGGGATTTCTCAGCCCGCCTGTGACCTGTCCCAGTCCAGGTACCCTTGGGGGATGTCCGATTGACAGCTTAGGCCTGTTTCCCGTGGGGAGTGGGCCCAAGCCTCCTTAGTGTTTGCTGAGGAGACTGGAGAGGCTATTAACACCAGTTGCTGCGCTTGCCAGCCGTGAGCCCTGTGGGAGTGCACTGACCACCAGGGGGCAGCTCCTGCATTGAGCGGCTGCCCCTGGTGGTCAGTGCATGCCATCGCGACCCGTCTGCCATTCGATTGATTTGCATATTACTCTTTTATTATATAGGATTCCTATGCTTTGTATTAGAATTGTGTGCTATGATGACTTGGAAACTATAAACCACATTCTTGTCTTTGAGTAACATTGTGGCTCTCCCCAGGTGACAGGCCATTTTTTAAATTTCGTTCACACTTTGGTTCAGAATGGGTCAGACCCAGGCACGCCCTGGAGCCCTCAGGGGTGGGCAAGAAGTGTGGTGCGATCCCTTTGGTGGGGGCTTAAGTCCTGGCTCTGCCATTTGGAAGCTATCTGACTTCAGACAAGTGGATAACTGTCTAAGCCTCGGTTTCCTCCTTTGTACAGAACCATGTGGTTGCTGTGGGGACGACATTAAGAAAATGTGTGAAAACATTTGCAGAGAGCCCGGTGCACACCACTCAGTCAACAAATGGGTGGCTGCTTTTCTAAATATGTCCTGCTCACGTCTGCTCTTCTCTAGAGCAGCGGTCGCCAACCTTTCTGACCTCACGAACCATCAGTAGTCTGCGGGCCACCAGTTGGTGACTGCTGCTCCAGAGGACACCCTCAAGGCTATCACTCTGTAGAGGCTTTACGAAGGGGCATTGCAGGCCTCTCCCAATCCAGGAAGGGCTGACTGTATACCTCCTCACCTGGGACTCTGATTGGCTGCCTAGGCATGAACAAGGTGTTCTCCCTGATTGGATGAAGGCCTTACCTGCATCAGCTCATCCATAGCTGCCAACATGTTTTGATCCAGAATGATCTGCCTCTGAGGATCCATCAGGAGCTTTGCATTGATGGCCTTGAACTCCACCTGGTACATCTTCAAGTCCTCATAGATGCTACTGAGGCACAGGGTCTGGGAGACATGACAAATTGGGGGAGAAACCATTGAGATGAGCTACAAGTGTTTTCCTTCCCGCCTCCCCCTCCCCATTGCATTTGAGGGAAAAGTCCCGTGTCTCACCGTCATAGAAGAGGCCTTACTGGAGGCCAGGCAACTCCCATTCTAGAAGCAAAAATAATCAGACATCAATCAATGGTATAAATTCATAAAATGGCTTGAAACTTTTTAGTTTTCTGACTTACAGTTATGAGAGGGACCTCCCTGGAAACCAGGCAATTCTCATTCTAGAGAGAGAAAAATATTACACATCAAAGATATTAATTCTTAATGTACAGTTTTCTGACTTTTCCTCTCAAAATTCACTTTTTTTAAATTGTGGTTAAAAATAACTAGCAAAAGGTACCCTATTAACTATTTTTAAGTGTCCAGTTCAGTGATGTTAAATATATTCACACTGTGAAAAACCATATCTATTTTTGTCAATTTTTTCTCAAATCTAACTTTGAAGTGGGATCTGTTCAAGTTTCACGGTGGTAGAGACCGGAAACAAGCACATTTCTGTAAGAAGATGGAGTCTGATGCACAGCTTTTATGATAATTGCATGATGTGCTTGGGAGGAATGGTGTTCTTACCATGGTTAGTTCCAGTGGAAGGCAGGCTTCTACAGTGCTGGTTTTATCTTTTGTGATGTCTTCATGATCGATCTCTTCAGAAGTGCAGGAGTAAAGTTCTAACGTTTGTCTGGCCTGTAAAAGCCATAAGGAGAAACCCAGTTTACAATGTGAATATGGTACCTGGCTCCCCATACGCTGGGGTGACAGCAAAACCCCTGTGATTCCTTTGACCTGTAAGAAATTTAGGGTCTGCAGAAGATAAAAGGAAGCAGGTCATTTACACCCTCTCTCCCTCTGCTTTTAGGACTGTTTCCCTGGATGGCATGCTTTTCCATTGTGTAAACACCATAAATCATTTCACCGGGCTGTGCTAATCAGAATCTCTGCCCGCTGTGACACTTGCTCCTGGTGAAGGCGTTTTCTGCTTCTGCCAAAGCGCCCGTGTTTTATGAATATCTTCCCCCCCCCCCAATTATATCTTGGGGACTGTTAAGGTCACAACTTGATGGATATAACAAACATGCAACCCTAAAGACAAATTGAGATTTAATTTGTGGTATGCAGGTACACACATACACACACACACACACACACACACACATCATTGGAAAGCAATGTTGAATATAATAATGAGATTTATCTTAAGAAGCTGATGACTTTTTGAGGATTGAGATCATTTTCCCACTCCACAAGTCTGGTGTGTGCCAGGCACGGTGCTAGACTCCAAGTTCATCCAAGGGGGCAGGCAGGTGCTCACATGACTAGGAGACAGGCCCGCAGGAGAGAAGAGCTGAGAAGGGTATGAAGGCTCAGAGGAGGTGGTGGGAAAGGAAGCAGAGACTTTGCCAGAGATGGCACGTCTGCAATAGGAAGATTAGAATGCTGGTCAGCAGAGGAGGGGGAATTTCAGGCAGAGGGAACTTACATGAGCCGTGAAGCGAAGCTTGAGAGTGCAGAACATGTTTGGGAACAGGCAGTAAAATCCCCATCTGAGCTACGTAGAATAATGCCCCACCCCCTCTCCGACACACACCACCCAATAGATCCACTTCCCAACCCCTACCCCGGGAACCTGAGAATATGTTGTTCCATGGCAAAGAAGAATTAAGGTTGCAGATGAAATTAAGGTTGCTAATCAGCTGGCTTTATGATAGATTATCTTGGATTATCTGGATGGCCCAATGGTAAGTGAAAGAGGGAGGCAGAAAAGTCAAGGTCAGAGTGATGGAGCAGGAGAAAGACTCAACTGGCCATTGTTGGCTTTGGAGATAGAAGGGAGACACATACCCAGAGACATGAGCAGCCTGTAGAAACTGGAAAAAGCAAGAAAAAATGATCTCCCCGGTCTCCAGGAAGGGCTACAGCGCGGCTGACACTTTGATTTCAGCCCAGGGAGACCCATGTTGGATTTCTGACCTCCAGGGCTGTCCGATCACACATTTGTGCTGGTTTAAGCCACGACGTTCGTGGCGGTTTGTTCCAGGAGCCACAGAAAAAATGAACACGCTATTCCTGGAGGTGCTCACACAGACCTGGGCAGCCACTAGCCTGAGCCGGTTGTGAAAAGTTAGGCGTGGCAAGGTGGGTTCATTGTGATAGTTTTCTGGATCTTTCCAAGACGAGTTGGAAATTTGGTTTCTTTTATGAAAAGACCACTTTCTTTTCTTTTCTTTTCTTTTTTTTTCAATAGCATCAAACTAAAAAAAAAAAAAAAAAATTGAAATAAAATATCAAAGACATGGGCCAAACTCGAGAAATCTGTGAGCTGGATATGGCCTGGGAAGGGCAGGTTTGACACAGGAATGATATAAACACACACACACACACACACACACACACACACACACACACAGACTGAGCTCTGCAGCCCCAAGATCTTCAGTGCGACCCCGGGGACAGAGCCCCCTTTTCACAGAAAGCCCCTATTTCAATGGGAGCTTCGGTTTCCCCCACCGGGAACCGTTCTCCAGGAACCACGGCACTTATCTCGGCCCGCGCTGCTAGGGCGGGCCGCCTTTTTAATTAAGATTGATCGAGCCACACGGAGCGGTTGGCAGCGCCTCGTGAAAGATAAGGGGAAAAAGAATTCTTTCAGAAGGCCTTGTGGCACTGAGCTTATGTTAAGATCCTCGTAAAACAACAAGCTGAAAATATTCAAGACAGATTTACTAGAGCGCAGGAAGGCAAAAGGATGTCTTTAAAAACATCCCTCTTTGGCCGGCCGGGCAAAAGCAATAGCTCCTGGAGCACTTTTAAAAGAAAAAATTTTTTTTTCCTTTGCATTAAAATACGAAACCTAAACACATGAACGAAGCGGTACATAAAATCAGATCATTCTCTCCCTGGAAAACGGAGGCTGAGCTTCTCTGAAACGCGGTGCTCTGACAACCAGCGGAGCCCCCAGCTGAGAAGCCGGAGAGGAGAGCAGGCGTGAGGGGCGAGGCTCATGCATCGCGGTAGCCCCCCTGGGAGCCTGGAGGCTGCGCCCTATAACGGTCTGCGGGATTGAGCAGTGTGTCCGAGGAACAGGGCGGGCCCGGCACAGTTAATTCCATCTCTGCTGCTGGCAGGCCCCGGGGAACCCTGTAAATATCCACTTTCCTCAGCGCAGACACAGCCCAGAGGAATACCGTTATAATTGATGACCGGCCCTGCTTGCTCTGGGGACACAATTTCATTGAGACTCTTCAGCTCGTAGTCAGGCCATTGGTAAAGGCCCCTCTTCGCCTCTTGACAGCCCCTGACAAACGCCCACCGTTTCCCTGCAGGGGACCCGGGCTTTGGAGATGCCCCTTGCCTAGAGAGGCTGCAGTGAGGGAGCAAAGGCATGGAAGAGCTCACCTTGTGCAGCGTGCTGCTGACCGCCTTCAGCAGGCTCTGGGCGAGGCCGAGGCAGGGGAAGGGTCCAGGGCCTGCGGGGGCTGTGGCGGGGAGGTTCCTGGCCCAGCTGAGGTGGTGGAGGAGGACCAGAGGGACGACCAGGAGGAGGCCTGGAAGGGAAGGGGGGGCGGCGGCGGCTGAGGTTGTCTCCCTGTTTTGGCCTGCCTCTCCCTTCCACCCATCTACCTCCTTCCACCCTGGAATCTCCCCGGAACACCTGAGCGGTGCATCCAGTCCCCCGAAGGCAGTGCTCTCTATTCTAAGCTGAGACACCAGCTCTCTGCAACGAGCTCAGACAAGGGTACTGACTCAGACCTCAACCAGAAGACGTCTCCATGTCACCGGTGGGAAACGGAGGCCGGGTGGTGACGTGACTGGCCCAGACTCACACCCAGTGTTTTGGAAACAGTGAGGGTGGCAAAGCCTCAGGGTGCAGCCGGGTGGGATCTGCCCTCTTAGAGCTGTAGCCATGGGAACCTGGGCAAGAAACCGGCCCGGCCAGTGTGGCTCAGTGGTTGAGCATTGGCCTAGGAACCAGGGGCTTAATCACAAGGAACAACAACAGCCTGTAATTATTGGAATTGAGAGTCTAGGTCAAACTCAGTCAACAGAGCCGCAGTTTGCCGACCACTGACCTAGGAGATCAGGGTTCTATTCCTGGTTGGGCCCGTGCCCTGGGTTGCAGGCTCGATCCCCAGTAGGGGGCGTGCAGGAGGCAGCCGATCCATGATTCTGTCTCATCACTGATGTTCCTATCTCTCTCTCTCTCCCTCTCCCTTCCTCTCTGAAATCAATAAAAATATATTAAAAGAAAAAAAAAGAAAGAAACCACCCATTGAGGGCCCCCATTTCTCGCCTGTGAAGTGGGCATAACAATCCTTAGCTCAAGGGGCTGTTTCTAGACCCAAAGAGCCCAGGCCCCTTTCAGCGCGCGTGGAAAGCAAGCAATTAAGTCTCCCGGCCCGCTCCCTCCCGCCCTCCTCTCTCCTCTAACTGGGAACGGCTGCTGGTCTGCAGCCTCCCCGGGAGGGAGCGGAGCCGGGGTTCTGCCTCCTCGGACCGGGCGCGCCCCTCCCCAGCGGAGCCCGGAGCCCGGAGCGGGTACTTACTGCGCGGGGGGCGCATGCTGAGCGGCGCGGCGGGCACGGCGGGCACGGCGGACTCTGCGGGCCGGACCCGAGGGCGCAGCAGGTGAGCGCGGTGCTGGGGAGCCGACCCGGGGTCCCATTTTTATAATTGCCCGGAGGCGCGCAGGACTTTCCCCGACGACGCACATCACTTGCTTTCTCTCTCTCTCTGTCTCCACCTCAGCCTCTCGGTGACACGTGGAGCCGGGCCCGCGGGGCTGGCGGCGCTTTCGGATTAACTCCCCGGGGCCCCGCCGCAGCGGATCGGGACGGCCCCGCCGCCTCCGCCCGGCCCGAAGCGAAAGCGAAAATTCGCGCAGAATCGCCGCCGCCGCACAGGGCCCCCCAGGGCACGCCCGACCCCCTGCCACCCTCCTCGGTTCTGGGGTCTCCCACGCCCCGGCCCCCAAATCTCAGTAACCAGCCATCACCCCTCCGCCCTGCAGCGCCCCCTTTTGACGGGGCGCCTGATAGTGCTACCCACGTTCCAGCTAGTGTGGTGAGGATGAGCCCTGGTGGTGCCCATCCCTGGGTTCAGGATGGCGTTGGGCAATTTATTGATTCGTTCGTTAGTTCATTCGTCCATCCATCCTCCCGTGTGTCCATCCACCCATTTATCCATTCTTAAGGTCTACAATGTGCCAAGCACACATTGTGCCCGGAGCGGAACACCTAACGGTGAGCACTCCCATACCAATCTGACTCAGTGTGTCTTGCCCATGGGTACCATCTTAAACATGAAGAGGGATGTTTGAAACCAGACTATGTAATAACCTACTGTTGTCAAGAATCCAGATTCTTACAGAGTCCAGGAGAGAATCGTGACAATGTAGTGGGATGGATAGGTGGTCGGCAAACTCATTAGTCAACAGAGCCAAATATCAACAGGACGACTGAAATTTCTTTTGAGAGCCAAACTTTTTATTTTATTTTTATTTTTAAAATATATTTTATTGATTTTTTACAGAGAGGAAGAGAGAGGGATAGAGAGGTAGAAACATCGATGAGAGAGAAACATCGATCAGCTGCCTCTTGCACACACCCCACTGAGGGTGTGCCCACAACCAAGACACATGCCCTTGACCGGAATTGAACCTGGGTCCTTTCAGTCCACAGGCCAATGCTCTATCCACTGACCCAAACTGCTTTCACCAGAGAGAGAGAGAGAGAGAGAGAGCGCCAAATTTTTTAAACTTAAACTTCTTCTAACTAGACTCTCCCAGGCCATAGTATTTTGTGGAAGAGCCACACTCAAGGGGCCAAAGAGCCGCATGTGGCCCGAGAGCCGCAGTTTGCCGATCACAGGGATGGATCCTCAGCTCCTGGGAGGAGAAGCCCAGCGAGAGGGCACCTCAGCAGGAGAAATGGGGGTGAAGCAGCAGCAAAGGCTCCCAAGAGCAGAGGTCCCTCCTCAGCACCGTCTCCCCATCCCCCCCAACCTGAGCGTTGAAGGATGAATAGGCCGTGGAATGGGGTGCAGGTTCTAGGTAGGGGGAACAGTAGTGAGAAGCACAGTCAGGGAGGGTAGGGGAAGTGGCTGTCTGGGGGGTCCTGCTGCCAATGAGGCTGTGCCATGAGGTTGTGGATGCCATGAAAAGGAGTGGGCACTCTGCTGAGGGTGGTGGGAGCCTTCTAGAGCAGCGGTCGCCAACCGGTAGTCCCTGAGGTTCCGAAAGGTTGGCGGCAGCTGCTCTAGAGTGTTAGGCAGGGTATCTGGTCTTTTTTACATGATGCAGAGATTTCTCCAGCAGGAGCATGGAGGATGAATCCCAGGAGTCAGGAGTGGAGTGGAGGGAGCAGTTGGGAGGGTGTGGCCAAGGCCCCATTTAGAATGGAGAACAAGCCGGAGCGGGTTTGGCTCAGTGGATAGAGCGTTGGTCTGCAGACTGAAAGGTCCCAGGTTCGATTCCGGTCAGGGGCATGTACATTGGTTGCTGGCACATCCCCAGTAGAGGGTGTGCAAGAGGGAGTTGGTCGATGTTTCTCTCTCATCGATGTTTCTAGCTCTCTCTCTCTCCCTTCCTCTCTGTAAAAAAAAAAAATCAATAAATTAAAACAAATAAAAAAAAGATTGTTTGATATAAAGATATATATATAAAGAATAGAGAACAAGGGTGGGCAGAGAGGGACCAAGGCTGGGTCACTCCTCAGGTGTAAGGGCCCGACAGGCCCTGCGGATGGTGGATGGAGGTTGTCCCAGGTCCTGCACAGGGGTTACTGGAAGAAGGGAGTGAGATTGGAGGCGACAGTGAGCAGTTCCATTTTGGATGTGCTGGGTTTGAGATTCCTGTGGGACTTTTCAGTTCACTCATTTCTACCCAGGCATTAGTCACCCTGGGTGTGTATGAAAGGGAAGGGTGTGTTTGGTCACCCACTCAAGGCTTCTGAAGGGTCACACTGCGCTAAGGTCCCAGGACTTCTCTGTGGAGCCGGCGGTGTCCACCATGGTGCAGATTCACCAGTCTTGGATAGGGATACATACACCTTTAGGCATACAGGAGAAAAGAGTGGGTGTTTCCTCTTCTCTCCTCTGGGTCTCCACTGGTTTTGGGGTAGACAAGATCACTCTAAGCCCTGAGATGCTGCCATGAACACTTGGCTGGGCCAACCTCTCTGAAGAAGGGCTGATGAAGCCAATTAGGAGAAAGCTATATTAGCCCCTGAGACTGATGCCAACAACTGAGAGAGCTTGGATCAGACATTTCCTTGAAGATAATGAGGCTTCCACCTTAGGGACTTTTAGATGTGTGTAAAGGAGAGTTGATCACTAAGCCTCCTTCCAATGCAACTGTCTGAACTCCCCCATGGAGATAGAGACCAATGGGTTGTCACAAACAGTTAGGTTCAGCAGATTAAAGCAAATGACAGGTGCAGAACTGTGTTGCTGCCATAGGGTTTAGGATGCAGTTAAATATACTTAAAGTCAGAAGTTCAGTTTATCACAGTTGAGCTGTTTCTCCCCTGGAAGGCCATCTCTGATGAAGAAGTGATTTCTGTGGCATATGTAAGACAGGCCTCTCTGCGCAGAACGTAGTCTCGGCCACCAGACACGGTTTATAACCTGTTCTTTGGTGAAACAGTTCTCTGCTCATCCCGTAGCCAAGATACAATGAAAAATTTTCTACATGAGGCATTATTGGAGCCATGATCACTACTACATAGTGTCTGACATTGTACGGGAAGTCTTGGTCAATGCTAAAAGGAAGAAGAAGAAAAAAAAAAGACAGGAGAGGTTTACAAATTTGGAGAGGAAAAAAACCAAATTTTTATTACTTACCAGTTGATGTACAGAAAAGCAACAGAAACAATGGAGCCAGTAGTAGAACTTCACTGGATACAAATATCAACTTACAAAAATCAACTAAGTTCTCTACATCAGCAACAACCAATTAGAAAATCTATAATTATAAAAGGGTAATATGCTAATTAAACCATATCCTTCTGGATGTCCTTCCGGACGACCTTCTGGATGAAGCCGCAGTGGGAGGGGATCCAGGCAGAGGTGGCTGTTAAGGTGGGTGATTCTGAGCCCCTTCCACGAATTTTATGTTGGGCTTCTAGAATCAGATAATACATAGATAATGAAAAAGATACTACTCACAGTTCCAGTCAAACTATATAAAGTAATTGCCTGTAGGAAGAGAAGGAATACAGAGGTGAAGAGTATGGATTCTAAACTATTTGAATCCAGGTTTTGTTACTTGTGGTGTTACTGTGTGTTCTTGGGCAAGTTACTTATCACTCTGGGTTCAGTTTCCTCATTTGGAAAATAGTGATAATGAAATACCCATATTTTGGGGTTGTATTTATTACCATGAGTTAGTGTAAGTACAGAATAGTCTTTGGAGGAAAATTTAAAAGTCTACTCAAGGACATAGATGACTTAAGTGAAATGGAAATACATCCCATATCCTTGAGTGAAAGTTCTTAATGTATAAAGAACCCAATATATAGTCTCCTTTAGTTAACTTATTAAAAAAAAAAATATATATATATATAATTTTTTAATTTTTTTATTGATTTTCTTACAGAGAGGAAGGGAGAGAGATAGAGAGCTAGAAACATCGATGAGAGAGAAACATCGACCAGCTGCCTCTTGCACACCCCCACCGGGGATGTGCCCGCAACCAATGTACATGCCCTTGGCCGGAATCGAACCTGGGACCTTTCAGTCTGCAGACCTATGCTCTACCGCTGAGCCAAACCAGTTTAGGCTAAAATATTTCTTTTTAAGCCTTTTTAAATTAATTAATTAAATTAATTAATTAATTAATTAAAATATTTTATTGATTTTTTAGAGAGGAAGAGAGAGGGATAGAGAATTAGAAACATCAATGAGAGAGAATCATTGATCAGCTGCCTCTTGCACACCCCCTACTGGGGATGTGCCCGCAACCAAGGTACATGCCCTTGACCAGAATCGAACCTGGGACCTTTCAGTCTGCAGGCCGACGCTCTATCCACTGAGCCAAACCGGTTTCGGCCTTTAGTTAACTTACATACTCAATGAAATCCCAGTACAAATTACAAATAAACTTTCTGAGGAACTAAATAAAAACCTATTCTAAAATATATAACAATAAAGCCTATGGATAAAATCTAAACTAAATTTGTAAAGGAATCATAAAGATGTGGAATATGAAAACACAGTTCAAAACAAGAGTAATAAAATTAGTGTTTGTCAAAAGAACACTAGTAGAACTACTATTCGTTCTCCTATGGAATATTCAGCCAAATGAACTATTGAAACAAAAATAAAGAAAGTAGAATGGACTCGTATGCCTGGGTATTTAGTATGAAGTACAGATTAATGAGGGAAGCATGGATTATGAGTGGAAAGTGCTCCATGTGTGGTGAAAAATAAACTAGACTCCAACCTAAAACAAAATACAGAGGTGAAGCCATTTGGAAGCGGATTAAGGAAAAAGTATGAAAAATAAACATTACTACAGTAGTAGAAGGAAATGTAGGAGACTATGTTGTCATTCAAGGATGGGT